TCAATGTTGTTGGATTAGAAAAATCTTTGCTAAATTTGATGAAAGGTTGCTGTCGACCGATGGAATAACTGCACATTTGCACGTAATGATAACAACGCATTTCCACAGACACTCTAAATTTCGGACTGGACAGCTGATTACACCGATCGATTCCCTCGGCAATTTTTATTTTGCCCCAGAAAAGAAATGCGGCGGGCTTTGTTCAAACAACGATAAATCTGCAAGGAAAATAGTGAGAGTAAAATATGGAAATCTGCACGATCAAAACTCCAAACGGGAACCGGTTAGAACGCTTTTGAAATAGTGAGACAAAAATTGAACTGGACACCAACTGAAACACAGAGGTGTATTTTCAAAAACTGTAGTAATTTCCGAAGTTTTAGTACGGAATATTCTCCAAAGTCACTTCAAACCAGTCATAAAAGAATTACAAACTGTGTACAAAGAAATCAATTCAGATATATTCTAGTATTTAACTGTATCTTCTGACAGAACTCCTCACCACGAATTCATGCACGTGCGCTAAATGTTTCAGCTCCTTCTGTAGACCTTTTCACTAATAAATTAATAATTATGCACGCATGCGCAAAATGGCCTTGGCGGCGCGGGCCATTGAAAATGTACAAGGGAGCAATATTGATCGGTTTTTCTCAGATTACGCTGTAATACTTAATATTAGCTGTGTCAACAATTGTCATCAAAATCGTTTTTCATACGTGTGTGAGCAGAAAAGAAGCACTAAAACTTTAATGGACACGGCGAGGGTGATTACTCCAGAGAGCACACTGAACTGTTGTCCAATGCGAGCAGAGGTCAAACAGCTGGAAACATAAAATGACCTCCACAAAGAGATTCGTTTGTCCTTTTATTCATATTTCACTGCACATACGGAAATGTATCCAACCGGTCAGGTTATTACCCATTCTCGTTACACCAAAAATGGGGGAACTGCAGCATTTACTTGGGGTTAAAACGGAAACCGCCGTATGGGGTATCTGGCTGTCTTGGGTATATGGACCAACTGGTTCTTCTGGGTTACTGCAAAGGCCCGGTTGTGATGCTACCAACTCTACAGGACCAGATGGACATGTACACTTGGGTCATCACCACGGATGATGGAGCTAGTTGAGGTCACTGCTAATCTAAATAAGGAAAATTAAATTCTTAACCGTGTACGGTGCCCTACTGCAGTGTGCTTCTATCAGTGGTTTGGCCGTACACAAGAGGGTGCAGACTACTCTGCCTTACCAGATTATCCTTTAGAGGAAGGACATCAACACAGCGTGGACAAGGACGCCTCGAGAGAAAGGGTAGGGCAAAGAAATGACTCTATCTTGACAGTTGTTCGAAAGGCTTGGCCACTGTTTTGCACTAGATTCCTTACTAATCGGTCCCGCTGGTGTATAGCAGTCATATCGATTGTAAGTCGCATTTCCAGCCTAGGTTGGGCAGTGTACTTTGTCCCTCACACCCTGACCAAGGGATTCACCCCGGGTGACGCCGTCACCCTGACTTCGATCATGGGACTGACCAGAGTGCTTACTGGCGTCATTCTTGGGCCCGTGATGGACAAGATTCAGATAGTCGGCAACAAAGAGTTTATGGGATTCGCCCTGACATCAATTACCGTGTATTACGCTATCGACCCGTGGCTAACATCCTACTGGTTGAATGTGGCCGCTGTGGTCATATACGCGTGTAGCAACTGCATGGTGTGGGCTCTACAGGACGTCTTGTTGCGTGAACTCGTCCTATCAAATTGTCTAGGCAGTGCCTTCGGATGGATTGCAATGAAGTCGGCTGTGTTTTCCTTCTTACTTCTGTATCTACCAGGTTTGTTAGCACTCGTCGCACAAAAGCGCCCACAAAGAAATGACACTGAAAATGAAGAGATGGGGGAATAGACTGACATCTTAATCACAATGATGAGCCTGTTTGTGAAACGTTGCCCGAAATGTAAAAACCCCAGCCCTCAAAAAACCCCTCTGGGACTGGTTACAGCCATAGTCGAGACTAACGTACGACGTAGCTGCCGGTTCGAATAATTATTTTAATGTAATGTGATGAAATCTGATAGTCAGGAAGTACGCATTATCAAGCTGGGAGAAAGCGACAATCATAATCTGAAAAGGATACACCAAGAAGAGAAAATGGAAATAGCTGCTCTTCCAAGCGCACAGTATGGGTGATATATGAAAATGCCCTCAGAATTTCCCCCATTTACGCCACTTGGTGGCGCACTATCTACTCTGAATGGTTTCTGAGGCTACATCCGAATCTGTTATCTAGAGCTAGGTCTAGGTCTTCCCTCCATTGGAAATGTGCGGAGATGCGTAGACAATAGACCTAGCCGTAGCTCTGGAAGCCTGTTTCGGTCACGGCCTGATAGTCATGGGGAAAGTTCGTGTGTCGTCGAAAAGTTCGTTTGTCAACCACTGGTCGATTTTGCCTAGTACCGAGGATGTGTTTTATGAAGAAGTTACCCAAGGGCATGTTGAAATTATGTAGTGTACATATCGTGGAGTTTTGACTCCTGTTTTTTGGACCGAAGTGACTAAAGTGTAGAAGTGAATGCGTCACGTGCACAATTATGTGTGTAAAAGGCATTAATGCGAGAACCAGCGATGGAACCAACGCACGAGTATACTCCTTCGTTTGAAGTATACTTCTTGGTTCAAATGACATCGAGCTTCGCTATTCTGCTAGTGCCGTTGGCAATACTTGGTCTGCATCTCAGGCTTCATTTTTGGGGGGTCTCTGACTTTGTGATATTGTTAATACCACATACAGAAACATCAAGTAAAATACAAAAGAGCAAATTATTGCTGCACTTCAATTGAATTTGAACGCTTAAGGCTACTGTCGGTGACCAATTTTGGAGACGAAAGCCCACGATGGAGACGAAGTTGAGTATTGGGAAACGGCCACAGCTTATGAGTTAAGAATCGTCAGAGATATGCAGTTAGGAGTTAAGTTCTTTCCGGTGTAGGCGCCATTAAGCGCTTACGAACAAAGTTTTTTGGCCGAGACGTTTCCGTGAGTCGTCACACGTAGGCTATGTGAAACTGTGCACCTAGAGGCCGCCAATGGATAATCTCCTTAATAAAATAAATATTGTGAAGGTAACGAGAAGACTTGGTCACAACTTTAAGGGATTAAAGGATGGGAAGACAAAATTTGTCATAAGTCATTTAATCTATTAATTAATTCATTTATATATGTTAAAGACGGGCAAAATTCGGTGGTTTGCCACCTCAAACCTAGACCCACTTTTTCGATTTTGTTACCATTCAAATTCTACTATGACCGTAGACTGATGAGGCACTTAAATTCACAAACCTACTCGATACGCTGGGGTCTTGAGATGGCGTCTTGGCGGGAGACGATCGGTACCGCAGTGACTGCTCTGTATCAATGACGCGTCCGTGTATTTCTCTGACGCGTGTTATCACTTCACGCGCCCACGGTGATAAAGTTGCGACAGGATAAAGGTAAAAAATCAATTTCCTAAATCTTTCTAAAATTCTTTTGATCTACTCGGCTCTAGACTAGCCATAAAGAAATCACAAAGCTTAATTAAGGCTTAGCTATTCTAGAAATAATCTAGTGAAGCATCCCAAATCAATCTGGAAAGGTAGTTGAACGAGATTGCCCAACTAGCTATACACGTAGGCCTCAACAAAGGCAGTAAAGTTATTGCTTTATACAGACTTAATGTAATTAAAATCCTATTTCGCTGTTACTTTAACATAACTATAAAGAATTTAAAGACGTTAAGCAAAGACTGGGATAGCTAGGACAGGCCTTCTGGATCCCTCATTCGCAAACTATCAGGGATAAACTGTTGCAAAGCCCGTTTGTGTAAATGAGACCTGCTCGTCCCTTGGCTACAAATAGAATGATGAAGTCATTTCTTTATTCAGTGTTCATTTGGTACTTCATATCCGTTATTTGGTATTTTATTTTATATTTATTTATATATCTTCTGGCGAAATCCCTCACTTCAGATCTATGCATGTGTACTGAGCTTTCCTGCACTCTTCTTGATCTCTCAGCTATTGCTGTTTACTTACGTCTAACTGAAGAGGAAACATTTTGGATACGAATTTCTTGTTCGAGAAGTGTGAAAACTACTTCAAAAGTCCTCACCTTTGTGTACACGCAGGCCCACATGCCTCAATTAAACAATATTTGGGTGTTTATCCATTGCATAATGTTGTATTCTTAGCTTTGTCATTACGTTGTTTTTCATGCTTTCAATGTATGAACCCAGCAGAGAGACACAAATAACTAAGCTAAGCTTTTGTCTGATGCAGGCCAGCAGAGGTCAAATCAGTGATAGCGTACAGTCACTCCCACAAAATGTATGTTTTGTCATTTTATTTATGTTCCAGTGCGCATACTCAACAGTTTTACCACTGGATGGGTTATTGCCTATTTCGGCTACACAAACATGGCGGAACAGCAGCAGTCAACTGCGCCGGGAGTAGCTACGACAAACCGCCGTATGGGGTTTCTGGCTGTCTTGGGAGTATGGACCAACTGGTTCTTTTGGGCTAGCGCAGTGAAGGGCCTAGCCGTGATGTTACCAACTCTACAGGACCAGATGGACACCAACACTTGGGTCATCGGCTGGATGATTGTGGTAGTTGAGGTCACTGCTAATCTCATCGGTAAGGCAAATTAAATTCTTAACTTACACTCGTATATCGATGATGGCGATGCTGACAAAAGACACAGCAGCAATCATCAGCGGCAACCAATTAGACAATCAACATTGGCACGCATCTGTTAGCGAGAGGACAGAAATCCACAGCAACGCACTGTCTCGTTGATTTGCCATAGAGTTCACAACATTGTCCACGATAAGCATTACCGGCAACCAATTATTACAAATATATTCCATAGCAAAACAAAATGCTCCAGAAGTCAAACTACGACAAAAATGTGCGTCATAAAACTCAACAGTCAAAACCTAATGATGTACAACATAACATTTGAATCAACACTACCATAAACACGAATGGTGAAAACGAAATTATTTTCAAACTCGTTTTGTTATTTAAGGACCTATGGCAGCCCCTCTCGGAAGGTGCTTCGGCATCGGGGCCTGCGTCATGGTCAGTGGCTTGATGATGGGCGTGGCCTTCATTATTGCATCGTTTTCTTCAGCTGTGGTTATGGCCACAGTGTTAGCTGTTCTGGCAGGTTAGTCATCAGATACACCGCCTTCATTCATCTTTTTTGGCCTGACTCTTTACCCTGGGACGCGTTCCCAAGGTCAAACCTACACGATCACGGGGACAGACTCATCCGTTGAGTCCATTGCATTTTTCAGGTTTGCAGAGCCCTGAGTCCGTCCTGAAGGTATATTAATGCTTCAGAGGTTGTCCCATAGCTTCTACAGATCTTACAAACCACCAAAACCCACCAAAAGTACATCACAGTACCGCGGGGGGCCGTTTTCCCAGGCTATCCGGATTTGAAGGGGGGGCCCTCGCGCCACACGCCAGCCAAGCCATACCGCCACCACACACCCCCCCCCCAACAAAAATAACACTTCAAAGACAGCCGACAGAGGCCTCTGACAAGTTCCAGAGAGCTGTCACTGATAAAGAACATTCCACTGCCTGCCCCAGGGACCGTTTTGTAAACAGCCCATTAGGTTGTGCACAAGGGACCAATTAGTACACAGTCCTATGGGAATTGCCTGGAGGCTGGCTCAAGGCCGTCTGGGTTTTTTGCATTTTTTCTGGCTAGGGGAGGCCCTGGCTGTAAAATGACTAAACCAGGCTTTTCAGCATGTTCGGGGGTAGGATATGATAAGTAGTCGTGGAATTTGGACTTAAGAAAAAAAAGTAATATGTTAATTAGCTCCAATGGACCCGCCAGGAGAGGCCACTTCCTCTACCGAGGTTTGAACAGCCTCCACGCTGCTGCCATAGACTTGGAGAGCGTCAAACTGGCAGCTTTACATCAAAGAATAGAGCCGGTTCATTGAATCGGGAACCAGTGATCCGAGTAAACTTAATTGTGCGTTGCTGCCAGTTCGAGTCTCTACACGCTTATGGCGGCAGCGTGCACAGAGCGAATAGGGATGGGAAGGCTTCATTACAACCGTTGTTAACATGGATGATCTTGTCCTGTCATTTACCAAAAACTAAGCAGCACTCCAAGTCATTAATGGTTTTCAGCTTGAATTGCCATATCTCTGTTCTGAATAATGCTTTTTCATTGGTCCAGACCGATCACGTGACAGGGGGACACAACCCCATTTCACACTCTCCAGCGTGTATCACATCAGGCAGCGTTCGTTAGATGAACGAGCGCTGGCACGTGCACGCACGCAAGCGCCCCCAGCGTCCATGGCTAATGAAGGGTTTGCTTATCGCTAATGATGAAAATATTTTCCCTGAGGAGAACAAGTGAAAAACATCAAGAAGACATAGATATGAATATGACAAAGCAATTTTCGACTGCTGTAATGTAGAATATGATGTTTTGAATACCGTCGGCAGAGCTGTATACACAGAAAGTATAACGCCAGCTTCAGATTTTGCGTATATTGTACCAACAATGCCGACACTCATGTCGCAACTTTCTCTAAGGGCATCGAGCTGGACCAAGAGAGGGCTCTATTTTCTTAGTAACGGAGGTTCCTCTGGTCGGAACTGAACTTTGCTGGTTCACAAAGGACTAGGAAATGCACGGGTCAATATGGCTCTTTTCAACTGATGAGTGGGTGGCACGCAGTCTGATCGAGGCGGATACACAGCCCTGACCCTCGGGTGCGCATTTCGTCCTCGGCTTCGCCACGGCCGCCACGGAGTGCCCCTCGGGGTTTAAAAATGTCATATCCCACACCACAGTAGTCAACGATTGTTAAATCTATGCACAGAAATAAATCAGTAATCGAATTTCTTCTTGGAAGAGAGACACACCTTTAAAGCATGGCAATTAAGGCGTCTGAAGTTAAGCGCGGTGGTTGCAGCAGACGACTCGCCGTCTGTTGAACTGAGCCTTGTTTCATCACCACGTCGTACCCAGTTCGCGTTATGCGTGTAGAAAGCTGAAGGATATGAGTCATCTTGAATATTAAGTGTTCATACGTTTCGAAAGTGACTGAAACACGTTTCCACTTCGCAGATATACCAAACAGCTTTGGAACTGACCCAACTTGCCTGACAAAATTACCTACTGGTGTACTGCATAAGAACTGTTTAATAAATGCATGTCACTTGCCAGAACTCGATCAACACACGTATGTGATAATTAGATGGATGAATCAAGGCCACCGTTAGTCATCACTTCTCAATAGCCCTCCTGTCATATCAAAACCGTTTGCCTGCCGAACGGTTGATGGATGCTATCGGTAAAGCTAAATGGCCAGTGTCCAAAATGTAATTCGGGCAGAGAGATTTTCTCTACGAGTATTGTATAATGAATAACGTACAAAGCCCAATAAAAGATGGTTTTCAAATATTCTGTATCTTTCTTCGTGACGTGTTAACGTATTATTCACAGTGTGTTATTTTTATCTTCAGGACCTGGTATCGGGATTTCTAACGTTTTGTGCAAAGAGCTACTCTCTCGTTGCTTTACTTCAGGAAGTACAACCACAGCTTTCTCCATTTCCCAAACGGGCAGCTCCGTGGCTTTCATAGTCATGCCACCGTTGACTCAGCTCTTCCTGGACACTTACGGCTGGAGAGGCGCCATGCTTCTCTTGGGTTCCATTTTCTTTCACCTGACCGTGTGCGGCGCCCTATTGCAGTGTCCGTCAGTCAATGCTTTGGCCGCACACAAGACAGGTACAGACTACTCTGCCTTGCCAGACGATTCTTCAGAGGAAGGACATCAACACAGCGTGGATGAGGACGCCTCGAGAGAAAGCGTCAAGCAGGAAAATAACTCAATCTTGTCAGGTCTCCAAACCGCTTGGCAACTGTTTCTCACTAGACTCCTTACTAGTCGGGCCTACTGGTGTGTAGCAGTCATATCGATTGTAACTAACGTGTCCACCCTAGGTTGGGCAGTGTACTTTGTCCCTCACACACTGACCAAGGGATTCGACCCGGGTGACGCCGTCACCCTGACTTCGATCATGGGACTGACCAGAGTGCTTGCTGGCGTCATTCTTGGGCCCGTGATGGACAAGATTCAGATAGTCGGCAACAAAGAGTTCGTGGGAATTGCCCTGACATCAATGACCGTGTATTACGCTGTCGACCCGTGGCTAACATCCTACTGGTTAAATGTGGCCGTTGTGGTCATATACGCGTGTAGCAACTGCATGATGTTGGCTCTACAGGACGTGTTGTTGTGTGAAATCGTCCCATCAGATTGTCTAGGCAGCGCCTTTGGGTGGATAGCAATGAAATCGGCTGTGTTTTCCTTCTTTCTTCTTTATCTACCAGGTCTGTGAGCAAATGGTTTCTTTTTCCGTCGACGGAAAGCTCCCATACAAACATGACACTTGAAATTAAGAGACGAAGAGCGAAAAGAATACACTGTCACTCTAATCACAAGAATAATCCCGAAACACAAATCTGTAACTTCCAAGAATTCCAGCCTTTCAAATCCTCACAATTCAAGGAAAGGTTGCCGCCATAGTCAAAAAGAAAGTACGACGTAGCTAAAGTTTCATGTATTTTTTAATTTAGTATGAGGAAATCTGAGTGTTTTTTTTAAGTATGCGTCACCAAGTAGAAAGAAAATGGCAATTGGAATCAGAGAAAAGATACACGAGATGAAAAAGTGGAAATGGTAGCCCTTCCCAGTGCGCTGCATGGCTGATTGGAGCCAGCGAATGAAATTGCCCTCACCCGGTTAACGCCACTAGGTGGCGCACTGTTAACTGCGAACAGAACCTGAAAGTTGACCCCCGATGGCATGCTTCCACGACCCTTGGATAAGAAAAATAACACGCAAAAATTTTAGAACTAGTTTTTGTTCAGTTACTTCTTAAAAACTAATCTTGGAAAATGTCCTAGCTTCTAAAATATTTGCTAGCATGTTAATTTATAGAAACTGAAAAATTACTTGACCAAAAACATAAATATCCTGCCAAGAATTGACATATTACTTCCAAAAATCTAAACTACATGAAGAATAGTGCAATTCGGTAGTATCGAACGCAAATTAACATTAATAGACGGTCGGTAAAAACCAGCACAAGAACAGATCAAAATATATTAAGGATTGTTTATATTTATAAGGAAATAATCTTCAAGCAATAATCTGCTTTAACGAAAGATTCTAACTTTATAAAGGCAGTGTGTATGATTTGAATTTGCTGCAGTGTGGTAGAACTGGCCGATTTGGGGGTTTGCTGGTTTCTTTGTGTATCATTCCTTAAGTTTGATCCATTGTTTGAGATCACTGCTTTGAGAAAAATCGAGAAAAATGCAGTTTATTTTTAACTCTGGAAGCGCAGCTCGTGTAACTTGTCTCGCAAAAATCCGTGGGCCACGGGACGTTCCTGAGTGCCTCTACAATGCACAGGCGAGGTCGATCTGCAGACTGAATATGGCCCTCAAAAATGCATTTTTCCATGGCTTCGCCCAATACCCGTGGTTGGCAAATTGACCTTCAAGTTTGTGTTTACTCTTCAACAATTCAGCGCTGAGAAATTGTCGATTAAACAACGTTTCCTCGGGCGGTGAATTGACTGCAGCCACCACAGTGCTCTCGGCTACCACGTGTGTGTACGGGTGCACATAGACTCTTCCAACACACAGCTCAATGCTTTACACACACACAAAATAACATATCTCTTTTCTCGAAAATGATAGCATTTCTGGCTGGAAGATTTTACAGATTGTCAGACACTATTATGGACTTACTTTACAGTAAGATGTTTCAAGATAATTTGACAGTCGCTTTTTGGAGATCATACAAATGCCATATATTGCCTTTACCATTTGCTGACATGAAACGCTTCAGGTCATCTAGAATGATTTTAGAACCCAGGTGCAGGTAGGTAAATCTTTGAAACAACGTACAGTCTTGTTTTCACATAAGTACGGGGAGCGAAAATAAACGTGCATGAACAAAAAACCTATGAGAGCGATATTGTTGAAAGTGAAAGGTCGAAAATGAAAGTTCTTGTTTAACCCATCTCCAAGTGACTTTTCCAAACTATTACTTGAGGAAGACAAAGGTAGGAATCATTCTTCCAAACGTGACAGAACGGCCTCGTGTAAAATGCCCATTAGCAGGACTATGCCAGGGTTTTGGAAGCTAGCTGCGTGACTTTTACCTTCAGGCTCTGTTATGGCTGACCATTTGTGGCAAAGTTTAAGCGACAATTATTTTGCACACCACTGGTCGATTGTACCTGATACTCGTGGTATATTTTGTGCAGAAGTTACTAATGACAGAATTCAGTACAGTTTTGATGACAGATGTTTGGTATTTTGGCACCATTTTGCTGTTATTTTCCCCCAGGTTTGATCTTTGACCTTGGAGGCAGCTACACCATACCATTCCTTCTGATGGGAGGCCTTCACTTCTTTGCCATCGCTGCTGTGCTGTTTCTGGTTTTCAAAGTCGACAGTGAGGCAGACTGAGTCCTGAACGAGGACTTTTGCCAGCTAGGGCCTACATGGCAACGGATTGACAATGTATGAGTTCGTGGAAATAAGGAACCGGCCGTATAGCACGAAACACTCGATATGGACAAGACCTATGATCCCCACAATGCATTTGTGTTTATACGTACGAAAATCCCAGACCATTGTAGAATTGATTTTGAGCAATTAAAGCCTTCAAAAATTGACTTAAGCAAGCCTATAAGGAATAAAGCCACACAAGGTTGACCCTACTGGCCCTGTGGTTCATGTGAATGTAATAATGTGCAAGTTGTTGATGTCTGAAGCCAATGTCTGAAGCCACGACTAATTTCATATTGTGGTGGCTAAACACTTGACCTTTCCTGGCAAGGCATGTTGACAGAAATTCTGAGAAACAGGAAGGACGCTCCTCAGCTCGTTGGACCTATTTTTCCTTTTCTTCCATAGACATGGATGACCTCGTGATACACTGTTGAACAATATGGTAAAGGCTAGCAAGGTCTCGGCTAATGAGTTCACAGGGTCGCTGGAGGACAGAAAGTCAAAATTCAACATCACCAGTAGCATAAATCTTTGCTAAAATGAAAGGTGGTGGATGATTTGCCTGGCCATGGGAATTTGAAAAGCAGGGTGGGGGCGACACTATGCACACTGTATGGGGCGATATTCATGATAAGGTGTGCATCGAATTAAGGCAGAATCTTACATCAGAATGGAATATTTGTATATTTTTATCGGCCTTAATCTTTGGGTGGGTGGGGAATACTTCCCCCTACTTTTGGGGATGGTCTATTGAATTATCCGCTAACTTCTTTGTAATAAGCACAAGGATGGTATATATGGGATGAAAGAAGTACCAACTAGTTTTAAATACTTTAGGGTTTCATGTGGAATTTTGACTATTGTTTTATAGACTAAAAACTTTATACCCGGCAATCATCACGTAGGCAAGGCAAGCGTAGGCAAGCACAATTGAGTACGACGTGCATACCTCACGCGCACAATAATGTCGAAAAGGCAAACCAACAAGTTAGAAAGGGTAAAAGAACACTTCTTGGTATAAATGACGTCACACTCCACACTACAAAGGGTTTGATGGAAAAGGATTCAGTCGAATTCAGTCAGATGTTTTATATCATAGGATGGTAGATAATAACAAAGGTAAGCTCATAAAGGCATGCAGTATTGCACCCAGGAGCAACGAAGGTTACTTCTCAATTTCAACATTAGAAAGGCTCCAGCGATGATTACAACCCCTCTGCTTTTTATTACACGTATGTCCCCAACTTGTCCATAATTGCGTCACACAGTAAGCCTTACATTACCCTCCCCTTGCGCCACAGGGGACTGGGGTGAATGGTCACATTGGAGCTTCGAAGATATATTTCAATATGAATAGGCGTATTTTTGATATTCGATTTCTTTTTCATAAAGAGAAGAATGATAACCTCTGGAACGGGACGCAAGCCCCTTGAGGCTAACCACCCCCGCCTCGCCACTGCTTACCGGACATAGTTGAAGGAAATTTCAGCACAGTTTAATTTGCGTCTACTCTGTTTTTACATTTTGTTTCAATATTTGTCATCTAAAGTGTAAATGGTACCATGAAATCAGTCTGTTTGTCTTTCAATACAAATACTAATAAACGTTATTTATGTAGCGCATAATACTTTGGAAGTCTGTATGCGCTTATTATCCCTTCACGTTGCGCTCACAACAACTGAACATTCCTCAAGCCATCTTAGTTCCCTGGGAGTATACCAGCTGATGCAACCTGGCCAGGGCGCACACGGCTGACATAACCACATCTGCCCTGACAGGTGGAGAGAGGCACACTGGGGGTGAAGTGACTTGCCTAATATCGCAACATGCTGCCACCAGCTGGATTCGAACCTCCGACCCTAATGATCAGAAGCTACAAACCCTAACCACTAGGCCGCATGCCCCACAGTAATGTTTATACATTTTTATGTAATATCTCCTCTATAAAAGAGATTTGTACTTAATTCTAATAATTTTTGTAATTTCTATACTTAATGTTATTTCTCCAAATGTCTTCTTACACCTTTAAGTATTGTTAATTGGTAGCTACTGGAGAACATTTGTTATAAGCTGAATGGGGGCCCCAGTATAAATAAAAAATAAAATGGATGGATGGATGGATGGATGGATGGACGGACGGACGGACGGACGGATAAATAAATATCGCGCATTTACAGCAACATTTGATCAAAATTGTTGGAAAGTACTGATTTCAGTATGCTCGAATTAGAGTGATGACGAAATCTCATGATAAAAACCCCTGGTGCTGTGCAAGTAGCTTCATCACAATATCCATTTGCACCGTTTGTTATTATTCATTATCTGTGTCGGCACTGGATACCAAAACTGGTTTTCATGCGTTTATTGTATGAGCCCAGCAAAGAGGCGCGACAACCCTTGACATGGCCTGGATAAATAACCTAGATAGCACGCTGAGTTCAAGTTGTCGTCCAGTGCAAGCGGAGGTCACAAATCAGTGGGGTGAAACTTCAATACCGTGACTCTCACAAAGACGATGTTTTGTCGTTTTGTCCATTTTTCAGAGCACAAACAGAGAGGGGTACTAACGAATAGTTTATTTTAGTTTCGCGGACATGGCCGAACAGCAGCTATCACCGGGAGTGGATATGAGAAACCGCCGTATGGGGTTTCTGGCTGTCTTTGGCGTGTGGACCAACTGGTTCTTTTGGGTCAGTGCACTGAAAAGCCTAGCCGTGATGTTACCAACTCTACAGGACCAAATGGACACGTACACCTGGGTCATCGGCTGGATGATTGTGCTAGTGGAGGTCACCGTTCATCTCATCGGTAAATAAGCCAAGTTAAGTTCTATCATGCTCGTATAACGATAACAATGTGGGTAAAACAGAAGCAATTATCAATAACAGTTTAACTCAAAGTAACGGCATATCCCAAACTATAATACAGGGATCAGTCAGCGAGAGGACAGAAATCTTGAATAACGATTGGTGACCAGAATTGGTGTCCATAATAATTATCTATGATAACACATTTGCAACAGCAACAACAACACTAGACGTAAAACCCTGCCAAAATGTGTATCATAAAATCGATAATCAAAAACCTATTGAGGCGTAATCATGTATGTTCACCCCTTCCACTTAGTTTGTGCGCACGCGCTAAAATTCGGCAAAGTCGACGTCACTTTCTGTAGCTTGTTAAAATGGCGACGCCATCCAGCAAATGACTACACCGAAATCTATCTGCCGAGATCTTCCGCACTGTGTAAACGTTTGCTGAATTTATACCAGAGAAATATAATCAGACTTCAGATTTCATTTTGTGATGCGTTTCTCGTTAATCAAAAGTGACATTTGGGAGAAAATGGGGTGAAAGGTGTATGTGTACATTACATTTCTGAATGTAAAAAAAAGGTATTTTAAACTTGAAAATCCGAATTGTTCCCCAGTTGGTCCATACATGCTGCATATCCTGATAACTGAAAAGGTGTTTGAAAAGGTTACCATGTTATGTTTATGTTATAGCGAATTGTCCTTTGTTAGTTTGATCAATTTCAATTTTGGCTCTCTCTCGACCGGTCGGCCATGGTTGAAGTGTGCACAGGTTCAAGTTCATGTACATGTACTGTGCATGTACAATGTACATGTACTCCATCAACGCACGTAACTACGACGGACAAATGGTTCTCGTGCAAGATATTAAATTCGCAATAACTTCAAAATAATACTGATGGTTTTATTAGACCTTAATACACACGACACTTTATTTTGTTTGTTTGGATAAACTGGAGAAGTTGTTTTAAAATGGAAAAGACCGTGGGTGTATTTTCTTTCCAATTTGATTGTGTTTATTTTTTGTAAAAATCACTTTTTCAAAAATTTGTTTCAAATTTTGTGCAACTCGGTTCAACGCGGTGGTTTAATGTTGTCTAATCCGGTTTTAGTTATCAGGTTATCTTCGTGAGCTGTATTTGTTTGTGTTTTGTTAAAAATAAAATTATGATCTTCATCCGCGAAAAGAAAGTCGGAACGATATTCCACGTCGCCTGCCTCGAAATCCACAGTAAAGTGATCGAGTACGCATGCGCTAGCTCTCAACGAAGTGATGCACAAGGGTATGCACATACGTGTAATATAACACTCCCATGAACGTGAAAAGTGACAATGTTTCTAACACTCAATTTGTTATATAAGGACCAATGGCAGCCCCTCTTGGAAGTTACTTCGGCATCAGGGTATGCGTCATGGTTGGTGGCTTGATGACGGGCTTGGCCTTCATCATTGCATCGTTTTCTTCAGTCGCGGTTATGGCCACAGTGTTAGCTCTTCTCGCAGGTTAGTATCAGAGATGACACCTCCGGTCACATCTTTGGATCTGAAGCTAAAGAATCCTGATAAGTTTGACAAATCCTAGATCGGGTATCCCTTACAGTTGAGACTATTAGTCTATGACACAGCATGTCAGGGCTTACCATCTTCTTGGCCGGAAGCTGTTTCATGTCACCCCTATTTCAATTTGGGGGGGAGAGACTTCACTGTTATCATCAACGATGATCTGTTCCGGTCAATTAATGTTTTAGGCTACTTATCCTAAAACGACAAGGTAAATCATACTACATTTTCAGCTTCCAATAACTGCACAGAAAGAAACAGAAAATTTGGTTTCTCCTATTAAGTGGGCGAAACCTATACATGTACGGTTACAGAAATATCGCCCGCGCCAAGTGGCTGCAAAAGACGAGGCACCGTTCGTTGAAGTGAGCCTTGTTTCACTGCAACGTACCCGGCTTGCGTGATGCATTAAAGGTGGTGTACACCATTGGTTTTTTGTCGTAATTTCACAAGATTGGCTGATTACGGTGTGTAATATTCACTGCAACATACGATACATACCACTCACTTGTTTCAAGTCAACTGCTTTGTGAAAACACGAGAAAAACATCGCGGCATTTTCAACGCCTAAATTGAAGGTCTTGTAGTTTATCTCGCGTAAAATTTATGGATTTTAGGGGGTTCGCAGTACAAGCGAACATCGTCCGCGGGGTCAGGGTGGGAAACAAGCCGGACGGGTTCTCATTCCCTTAATAAAAAAAGCAGTTTTCAACGGCTAGGAGTAATCAGTGAATTTACCTTCGAGTAATGCGCCTCCTCGACAATGTAGCATTGCGGATTCATGGAATAAACCGCATCCAGGAACACAGCAGTTGGCTCGTGCAGGCTGAAATGATTATACACATGCGCGCACGATCATGTTTATAACGGCACTTTCATGTCAGTTCACACGTCAATGAAAGTCTATAACACCATTTATAGTTGAGTCATTGATAAATATAAGTTGAAAGGGACAATGTCATAAAACAAAGGAGGATTACCTACATAACATAGGAAAACATACTTTTTGTTGACGAAAATCATCGTGCTTGAAAACAGCTAGCTTAGTTGATCATATTTTTTACTTCCATAAGACATTAGGTTAACGGTACTCTGTTTTACTCTTGTCTTTATATTCAGGACCTGGTATCGGGATTTCTAACGTTTTATGCAAAGAGCTACTCGGCCATTGTTTTACTTCAGGAAGTACAACCACAGCTTTCTCCATTTCCCAAACGGGAAGCTCTGTGGCTTTCATAGTCATGCCACCGTTGACTCAGCTCTTTCTTGACACGTACGGCTGGAAAGGCACTATGCTCCTCTTGGGTGCCATTTTCTTTCACTTGACCGTGTGCGGCGCCCTATTGCAGTGTCCATCTGTCGATGCTTTGGCCGCTCACAAGAGAGGTACAGACTACTCTGCCTTACCAGACGATTCTTCAGAGGAAGGACATCAACGCAGCGTGGATGAGGACGCCTCGAGAGAAAGGGCAGGGCAGGAAAAGCACTCCATATTAGCTCTCCGAGCCGCTTGGCAACAGTTTCGCTCTAGCCTCCTTACTAATCAGTCCTACTGGTGTGTAGCAGTCATATATGTTGCAATTCACGTTTCCTGCTCAGGCTGGACAGTGTACTTTGTCCCTCACACCCTGACCAAGGGATTCACCGCGGGTGACGCCGTAACCCTGACTTCGATCATGGGACTGACCAGAACGCTCACTGGCTTCATCCTCGGGCCCCTGGCGAACAAGATTCAGGTAGTCGGCACCAAAGATTTCATGGGAATTGCCCTGATATCACTTATTGTGTATTTCATTATCGACCCGTGGCTAACATCCTACTGGTCGAATGTGGTCGGCGTCGTTATATACGCCTGCAGCACCTGTATAATGTGGGCTCTGGTAGACGTGTCATTGTGTGAAGTCGTCCAATCAGATTGTCTAGGCAGCGCCTTTGGATGGATGGCAATGAAATCGGCTGTGTGTTGTTTCTTACTTCTGTATCTACCAGGTTTGTGACCCAATTGTTTTATTTATTTATGTTATCTTAATAGAAAGCTTCCATACTGGAAACTGCTAGAGTATTTTTTAGGTATCCGATATCAAGTGAGAAAAAGCAACAGTCGAAATCAGAAAAAGATGCACCAAGAAAATAATGGAAATGACTGCCCTTGTCAGCGCCATCGTATGGTAGGAAAGAACGAAAAAATTGCCTTTAGGGTGTCACATAGTTAATACGCCAAAGGTTAAGTACCATCTACTGTCAATTGGTACCGACCGTAAATCACGGGGCAAGTAAACCCATGGCCGATTTTACCTGTTCAAGTTACCTTGCAATAAATTGTATTGAGTAGGGTTTACCAATGAATGTCGACCAGTGGTGGGCAGATGGTCTTTGCTCTAGCTTGCTCACTATGCTTAAATCAACCGATACTCTCTAATAATTATTATGCTTATCTTTACAGTTATTATGTGCCCTTTTGCTGCTCTTTTTCCAGGTTTGATTTTTGACCTTGAAGGTAGCTACAAAATACCGTTCCTTCTTCTGGGAGGCCTTCAACTCTTTGCCATTGCTGCTTTGCTGCTTCTGGTTTTCACACAAAGTCGAAAGTGATGGGGCAGGCCGTGTCCTGAACGAACATCGTTCGTGGCTACGGCTGTATAGTGTAATGTGGTCGTGGTAAAGAAGGGAGCCAGCCGTAGCCAAAAAAACATTTGATTTGGAGAAGGCCTCGTTATCATATGACACCCGCGTGGTTGCCGCAGTATAGTTGCGTTTATAACTGAAATGACAACAGCACGTAACGTAACGTAACGTGTGTGTTGCTTTATTATAACATGGTATTCATGTAAATTATCGGTGAATAGGTGGAAAGCATAGTTGGGCTTCATGGTAGACTTTAAGTGCCATGAAGGGTTAAGAGGTGTATATTCATACAACGAGTGTATAGAAAGATATTGCGGGGGAATATTTACCTTGGAGTAATATGGACCCGTGCGTGGCAATCAATGCACACTGCAGAGTTAGCTGCTGAACCTAGAAAATCAACCATTTTATGGAAAGGTGCAAGATTTTCCTGCCAATTTTGTACAACAAATAAACTTGTACATGGAAGAAAAACATGATAAATTTACTTAGTATGATTTAGCCCTAATACGGGTGATTTACAATAGTGCGCCTCCAAGAGTTTGCAAGGCATGGGCCAATCACAACGAAATCTGTTGACCCTTTCCAAACGCGCATTGTGTCGACAGATTTCGCGCATTGTGATTGACCAGCGCGTTGCAAACTCTTGGAGGCGCACTATTGTGAAACGCCCATATTGTATCATATTAAGTTCATGATATTGACTGTACGTAGTTGTCACCATGAATGGCCTGTATGATACGCTGAGATATTGTGCACACTATACACTGTACTGTTTTGGCTATGGGTTTGGACAGTAAATTGTACTTCAAGGTCATTAAGGTCATTTACCTCAAAGGTGAAAGTGTTACAAGGTTTTGTGTGTATTTTTGTACCAATCATTGTGGATATACGTTTGGAGACCGCAGTCTTTAACTCGTACCACATATAGTGCTTTGTTCTTCGGTCAATACTCTTTGATTATACCTACAAATGGCCTTAAGGCTATGCCTTTGTGGTCACTATAGTAACGAAAACAGATGACCCTTAACCTTGACTCATACTGCAAAGGTCCAAAACTAATAAAGACGTGAACTGTCAAATGACATTGTTCTTTGTCACGTGATACACCCCCTTATTTGCAAATTTTCCCGCCCAATATCTCCGGAACCACAAGTGTGAGTAAACTTGCCTGTATATCAAATGTTTAATTTCTACATAAATGACAAATATACATGTATATCAAGCTAAATCGAATTGAAATGGTTTAATGCAGAAAACGTCACAGCGGCAATGTGCTAATTTAAGTTAATTTCTTTAAAAGATAAAATAAAAGTACTTGTAAAATATTCCTTACGAATTATTTGCTAATAAAAAACTACGATTAAAAAAAAGCCAGGCGAGAGAAATCTGATATGTAAAAAGCTGAAACGTACATGAATATTAATTACCTACAGCGACAAGGATTACATTAAGAAATAGCAATGGGCGAGATACACAAGCCCGTCAATCGACTAAATCAAGAACAAAACATCTGAAACATAGACCAAAAGGAGAGAGGAAAACCCAAATAAAATATGAAAGGAAGTGTTATGTGTTCATTCAGTCGGTTAGCTATGGAAGTGGACCTTTTTTGCTCTTTTTGTTCGACGGTTGATTTTTCAATTGTGGAATCTCTTCGTGTTGTGTTTACATGAGTTCACAGGTGGCACTATTTGACTGAGTTCTGAGTTCTGACACCTGGCGAAGGAGGAACACAGCTGTTTTCATCTACTCGCGAGGATGCTCTTAAGTCCCAAGTACTCGTATTGTAGACGAGTACTGCACATTGTATCTATTACCAAGAATGATTTTGCACGCTTTGCGATGTATGCGTTTAATGGCTTTGCATTTACCAGACCACATCGGTTTCGCAAGAACTGCTGAGCTCACAAAACTGGTGTAAATATTGGGGTAAGATCGTCCGATAAAAGCTTATGTTTACTTAGTGTTCGCCAGATACACAAACGACTGTTACAAGGTTAGAAGACATCTACTTACATGAGAAGCAAGGAAGCAAGCTAGTTACATACAGAACACGGAAGCAACCATAAACCTCAAAGACAGGTTAGAATAGCAATTAAAAAGAAACGAATTGTCCAAGCTAAAATCATGAAATACTGGAAAAATAAAACGCTGAAAATTGAAATGAACAATCAGAACAATTCATATCAGCAAATAAAAAAACTGCGTAAACTAAAACAATCATAAAATACCTTCAACATTATTTTTCTTTCAAACGATGCCAATGATTATATTCACAACAAGATCTACAAGCCCAATATAAATCCTTTACCAAACCAGCGCTGCATCAGTGCCATTTTTTTTTGGGAGTGGACTTGGCCTACCAGGACCCTCGGTAGGGACATTTTGCCTTTGTAACAATTGAAAGAGCCAGCATCACAGCAGTGCCATAGCACCTTCCTCGTCTTGACTGTCTTACCGACTAAAAAAAAGGACTATCGCTAAAACAGCCCCTTCCCCGTATCAAAACTTGGACACGTACGCCCCTCACCTATACACACATAAGGATACACAGTTTACATCAGTAAGGCCTTTCAGTTCATACGGCCGTGGACAGTCATAGAATTTGACCTCTGACAGATAAATGTTAAACAGGACAGTTACGAGCCATTCCCCCTTTTTTCACACGAGTGACCAAACAGATTACGTGTGTAGCGCATAATACCTTAGTGTTGAAACGCCGCACCACTGTGAAAAGTACATGCCGTAATGTCTTTAATTGTTCAAAAATATGCCGTTTCCATTTAGAAACCTTTCAGTACAATTTAAACTTAATTCATTTAATTTGGCTCTAAATGCGTGGAACCATTCAGCGTGGCTATATTAAAATGAAGATTGGTCCAATATCTCAAAGACTCTATTCAATTTAAAAGCAGCATTTATTTCTATACTTTGTACAGATAAAATTGAAGATCCAAAGGAGAGGAAGTAATTACAGAGATACGATAATAATGATAGACGGGTCTGAAATTATTGACAAGCAATGATACTTTCAAAGTTCGGGGCTGTTCATACAAACTGAGGCTTATTGAGAGCAGCCTACACATATACAGACAAACAGGAATAAGCAGGAAAACAAACACCCAAACAAATGGAAGCACACATGCAGGTAGAGTTGTAACAAGTCACGAATGTAGTGACTCGCCTCGAGTCGAACCACTGAATGTAGTGACTCGCCTCGAGTTGAACCATTGTAACGTGGTGACTGGAGTCGCGTCATTAGGCAAAAAAGTCGAGTTGAACCAAGTGCATGCATTTAGCTCGAGTCAATTCAAGTCACCAATATTAAACACAATCCAATAAATAAAACCAAGAGAGAGTCATTTATTCCTTTTCAAAATTCATCACTGGGTTTCTACATTATGGTCACGCCGCATCTTACCTTTGATAATAAAATACGACATGAACATAAACTAGCACCTTACATTATTGCAAATAATTATGAGCACAAAGAAATTGCTTTAACTGGGACTCGAGTCTCAATAACTTTCACTGGAGTCAGGTCTTCTGATGAGGGACTCAAGTCGAGTCAAGTCATTTGCTCTCAGTGACTCGAGTCGAGTCATTTACCCGTCGGAAGTCGAGTCATCAAATGTGACTCCAGTCGGACGAGTCAATGACTCGGGTTATTATAACTCTGCATGCACGAGCCGAGACACGGCAGAGGATGGGACAGGACAAAGTGGATAGATTCGAGGAAGAAAGTTGACAATACAAAGATGACATGCATTGGAAACCGCATTAAACTATATGGAAAATGGCTGAGGAGGAGCTATGTCCCATGTTTTGAAAGGATATGAACCATCCCAAGGATGACAGCGTACAGAGTAGCAAATATTTAAATTATACCACTGTATTTTCACAAACCTGTCCAAAACAACTGTACAAAAACCCTTTCTACTTGTCATAGCAGTGCATTCGAGAGGAATCTAGCTTCGTTCGCCTGTGCATAGATGAAGTAACTTGAGGCTCGACAAGCGATGATCTCAAGCAGACACTGCTTCATCATCGGTTTTTTGGTCGCCCGTCGACAGAGGCAAGTAGGTAGGAGGAGGGGAGGTGTCGGTGGCGGTGTTGTCGTCGATTTGGTTGCTCTTGTTGCACAAATAGAATCCCTGGTTGCCTGTAAGATGAACGGTAATCAAATAGAATATTATTCAGGTTTAATGATCTCGCCTAAGATGTGTGCATAATCGAAGCTGATCAAGTGCTGCATAATACTTACAAAATCCACAAATGCAAAGAGAAAACGAAATACGTCCTGCGAAAACACATTCAAAGTTATAAAACTTGAAAACCTGGCAAGAATTTTTAATCGCTTCAACGCTGGAAAAACGTGCTGTGCACACCAGATCATTACGTCCAAGCAACCAACAGGAATCGTTTGGGTATCGAACAGTAATCGATTTCTTCTCTGTTTACTTCCCCTTGCCATACTGTCTAGTCCTATTTTGCGCCATTGGTTTTGCTGTGCTGTGTTTGTTTGCATTGCGTTGCAATGTGTTATGTTTAATTGCGTTGCGTTCCATTCTTTGTTGTGTTGTGTAGGGTGTATTAAGCTGTTCATTGCTTGACTGTGCTGAGCCATGGTGCGCTTGTACTTGGTGCCTTGTGGGGTACCGGAACAATGGAAGGTACCCCACAAGGCCAGTTTTGAGCCTTGTGGGGCACTAAAGTGGTACCCCACAAAAATTTCAAAAAATAGATACCTCAAATTTACTCAAAAAGGAGGAATTTTCAAGTGTCATTCATCCGTCGCAAATTGAAGTGTTTTATATAAGGGACATACGGTCGAAGTTTCAACCCAGGAAACTGAATTTGGTTGATATGGCAGTGATATGAATTTTTTTCCGCGTTGTGTGGGAGTTTTGTACACGAGAACAAAGGAAATACCCCATACGTATACATATGTAAGGGTGTGTGAACCTGTATGAGGTTTCACGACCGGCAGACTTACTTCCGAATTTCTCTCCTTCTTCTATAGTGTCAGGGATGTCATAGCCCAAGGTTTCTGGCAGCATCAGTGACAATACCCCGGCCAGTAAGGAGCTACCACCGAAGACACAGAGAGGCAATGGTTCCCAGTATTTACCCAGGAGCAGAATGATGGGGCAGAGAATACCGCTGACACGCCCCACCATGGAAGACATGCCCATGCCGATACTCCTGCATCACGGAAAAAAACAACAACAACATCAGCCCATTAAAAAAGTATTGTGTTTCTTTCCTCGCTTTCCTTAGGCCTACACGTAATTTCTCTGCCTTCGATTCCCTGGATAAGGGCATATGTAGGCAGTGGTGTATGGGGGGCAGGGGTGGATACTTCCCCCCCCCCGCCCACACGAAGATTTTTGGGGATTTTATTTGTTACAAAGAATGGATGAGTATGAAAGAAAATATTTGGTACGTTTATTTATCAAATATCTGCACCATATCCCTAGGCAAACAACACCAGCAAATAAAGGCAAGGATGTCAGGACCGAAAGGTTAATGATTTTGTTTTCTCCACAGCATAATACTGAATGGGCACGAAGACGCATTCGCTGTTGGCTCCCCCCTCCCCGACACCAAAAGCTGGATACGCGACTTTTCGTTCTTTCCCTTATCACTCTCCAAATGCCATCATTGTGGCCGAGGTTTCTATGAAATCAGTGATAAGCTGTAAAAACAAAAAACGATATCAACACAAACTAAAATAGATTTTACCCAAAAAAAGCTTACGCTGGAATGTAAAGGTTTCATTAATTTGGGAAAATATGCTATGAGAAGAAAGAGAGGTTTCAAACCTGACAACTGTGGGGTAGATTTCACACGAGTAAATGTAGATGTGGTTGAAAGCACCAGTCACAGAAAACTTCCCTATCATGGCTACTGCTGCCCGTGCTGGGCCCAAGGCTGCAGGAACGCATCATGGAAATAAAGGCATTCGAAAATACACTTCAGTACACATTGAGGGGTAAATCTGTAATGCTGAAGATTCAAACTGCCTTAGGTACGGGGAACAAAAATCGGACAATTTTCAGGAGAAACTAATTTTTCTATTTGAGAGGCTTGAGAATAATTATTGTCTTTTGAATTCGGCCGGGCAACGCAGTATAGAAGTAGACGGTACGTGGTGTGTGAAAGTTACGTAAGGCCACTTAAAAAAATAGTTAAGCATCAGTTGTATTTGCAAAAACCAGGAGGGAAGGGTTTTTTTCTTTTTGGTTTTTTTATTTTTTTAATACTTTGATATGCATGCTGATCTGGACTGCCGCAACCATGGATCGAAAGCGCCATGTTCACTTCAGGCTCGTGCACAGAAGTGCACATGCCATTGTGTGTATGTTGTGCGTGCACGAGGTTGTCTTGGCGTTGTAAAAAAAACTCCGGGGGAAGGCTAAGGGCATCGGAAAAGACAGTTAAAAAAATCATTCCATCATAAATGAGATGTTTGAAATCGCTAGGCGATATATATTACATTTGTAGACGTAAGGAGAAACGTAAAGCAAGTAGCCGTATAGTGCTGGTAGTTGGAAAGGTTTCCCGACTGTAATTGTTGGCCATTTATGCTCAGTTGTACATATTCAAGAAGTCGCAAGGAAAGTTTTATTGTTTATTTCCATCAATAAAGTAAGTAGCTATTAACGTTTTGAAGATACAGAAGCGCATCATGTAGTTATGAACAACCGTAATGTTTGTAATTTTCATGTAGCCAAGAGACGCAAGAAGTTGAAAGCCACATGTATAGTGCGAGTGCCAGTCTTACCGGTTTTATTTAAAAAATTTATTCAAGCGTCAGTCAATTTAGCTTGGTGTTAGTGAATACGTTTCACAAGACAGACTCTTATCCTTAGGTCCGTATAAGACAGTCGTTTGTTGCCAAGAATGTATATACGAATGCAGTTCGAAAATATCGTAATGTGTGTTACCATGCAACCAGGAAATGGTAGAAGTTGGACACCACGTGCAAATTCTGGTGCCAGTCTTGATAGCACTAGTTTTCAGTCTTCAGTTGATCTGATTTGTATAAACAGGTTATATCTCACAGCATGCAAAAAATTATATTTAGGTTGATCGTATTTTACACGAATGATTATTATTGCAATTGTCAGTGTTGTATGAATGTTTGCACTGAGACAGTCCAAACTTATAGACGAAAATATATACTGGTAGGGGCCTATACGACATCTCAACAGCTGTAACGGCGTTTTGTAATCGCTATGTAACCAGACAGATAATGATATAACTAACAAACGGCAGAGCAATACTAGAATACTCTCTCGTTTTACAACTCTATTTTTAACTTGTAAATAACAAGTGAGAAAGGAACATTCTCACCCAAAGTTTGGTTTGTGATGTCGAGAATCATGTATTAAATATGCACATAACAGAGTCCAATCACAAGACCGGAAACTAAAGCTGTTTGGGAAAAACAAAATCACTGCCATGCCCAGCAACAGTACACAATTAGGCTGGGCATGCAAAACCTCAAACTGGCAGCTTGTATAATCGGTCAGAATCGCTCTGTTCAATCGCATGGCCATACGGTAGGCCTATAAGAATTAACTAACGCATCACGCGCAAAATTACTGAGCCGGCTATCTTTACTGTATAAAGCTGCCAGATCGGAGCTCTGCATGCCTATGGTGGCAGCGTCCAAAGAGCGAAAGCCCATCACAAAGTTGGTGAAGGAAGTACAGCCGCTCCAAAGCCTTGTGGGTAAGATGCTGTAAATAACCATGTTTTCTACGCGCATTTTGTGAGTCCCGAGCTGGACCAAGAGAGGGCGCGAGTTTCCTAGCAACGGAGGCTCCTTTAAGGTGGAAAGCTTGCGGTAGCACCATGCAAGGATACGATATCTTTGTGAGTCTGTATGGTTCTGAAAAGAACCACAGTTAGTTGTCTGTCACCATAAATAGCTACAAATCCCATCTGAGGTGGGAACTGCACTTCAGGGTACAGTCCACTAATTCAAGCAAGAATTTCTGGCCAGCTCATTAGCATTAAAAGTGCCCCCACAGTGTCTTTTGAAAAGGAGATTGTATGGCCCGCAAAATGGTGAGATTGTGTAAATCTTTGCCAGAATCAACTCCCTGGGTCTTTGAGCTTTCATCTGAGAGCAGAATGGCTTAAAAAATACCGTTGAAAAATGGTCCTAAAGTGCCCAAGAAAGTTCAGGGTTGTCACTTGAAAAATGGCTGCATGCAGACTTTGGAAAATCACTTTTGGGGGGTAATTTTGTTTCTTAGGGAATAACTCAAAATGTAATCAGTTAACCCACAGAAAATTTAAAAGAAAGCGAAAGATTATGGACCATACAATGATTCAACGTGTGTTTCAGATGCCTCAGGGATGTTTGTATACGCATATTATTGGGCCCCAAACAATGCTGACTTTACACTGTTTTCAATTGGGCCTGAAATAGTGGACACACCCTCCACTGGTTCAGGGAACATTTTTTCTTTCCAATACACAACTCAAACTCTGTTCAGGCACAAAACTGTCTACGGGTTGCCTCTGCGCTTTACAGGAGTTAGCAACAACATCAATAGTGTGCAGGCATGAAACTCACGTATGAAAATGGTGATGAGGCAGAACGCTCCACCACATATGTAGAAACCCGCCAACGAGAGACGCCTGCCGAGTCGTTCCATGATGAACCAACAGAAAAGGTAGCTTGGAATCTCTATAGCTCCGGACACGAAGGCAGCGATGTAGTCATCGACACCGAGGGCTGAAGTACTCAGAGACAACCCGTAATACGCCATAACGGCTACAAACCTGGATTAAAATTTCGAGATCGACCTCTTCATGTGTCCAGTTTCCTTTTTTTTAACAATGTTTTTCTTTAACAGAAAAGATCAACGTGAAAAAGAAATAGCAGTCGCTACGTTGCCTGGCTGCGATTTTTTCTGGGCTTGGAAGCTACTAGGATGTATTGCTTATGAAAACGTTTCATTTTTTCTACTTCACAATACAAGTATTTTTTAAATAAAAATTAATGATAAACTCCTCTTCTCACCAATCAAAGAATATTATTAATGTTTTCTTCCGGATGTTGGGAGTTCGGACGAGATCCAAGTGCGTCCCGCGTCGTGATCTATCAAACTGAACCTCCTGTCATTGAAATAAATATAATCATATACAAGAAAACTAATCAATTTCCATTATATAGAATGGTCCAGCCGTAATACAGCACGCATTGTTGTTAAGCTCTGAACGACCATGGAGATAATATGGAACGACAAATTCTTTGCTGAGCAGAATATCAAACCGGCTTTACCTGCAAAAAAAGTATCTGTAGGTTTTGAAACGAAGAGTATTTGTCTCATTTTGTAACTGTACATTTGAAAGTAACATCTTTCTCCAATGATTGTGACAAGCCCTGACTGGAAAATGGATTCAAGTTTATTTTATTGGTTAGATATCAAACATTTATGAATGTATCCATGGAGACCGTTTAACATATCTCACGACGAAAAGTTTTGAGTTCAAAAACGAGATACACCCAGAGAGAACACTAAAGCACATTCGGTAAAGTACCGTGGTGAATTAAGTGACAAAGACCCATATTTGAAAACAAAGAGCTTTTTTTTCCGATACTTCAAATGAAGAACTTGACTTCATGGGAAATAATTATGGCTTTGAACAAGTGTCGGGAGGAATCATTCGTCAGCTAAGTCACAGTTACAATTGTTTTCTGAGTTTTACCTTTCCCTGCAGATTGGTAGTTTGAGGCCCCTCATCAAATAAGTTCTCGGGAAGTGTTGTGCCGTTGACTTTAGCGATTTTACCGATTACCCTCTTGGCTTCCTTGAACTTGCTCTTGGATATGAGCCAACGCGGTGACTCAGGAAAGACTCTATTGACGGAAGTGGAAAACTGTTCAGTTCTAGGCCAATGTTAGCCACCCTGTCAAGAGTCACTATGACTGATTTGGCGTCGTGTCGGGGGGGGGGGTTAAATACGTCAATTCTCTGTCAGTCAACTCAATGTCAGTTGTCTCAAGTTCAATGTCATCAATCTGGGGATTTATCCTTCGTTTATTATGGATTCACAGGTGTTGAACTGCACAACATTAGTCCTAGGGTGGGTTGTGCGTCACCCCTGAGTGTGTCCATACATGACGTACAACAATATGGCAGAAAAGCGTATATACATGTTCATTCCACATACGTACGCCTGCACTCATTAGACTATATGTGACGAATCTAGCCATTGTCCCTAGGGAATAACTGAACAGAGTGTAACATGAGTTGGACTCAACGACAACAGCAGTGTAATTGCTATGGATGAAAATCCTGGAGGACTGGCGACCATACGGCCTGCACCTCCTGCTTTTTAAGATTCCACCCCTCCCGAATTTTGAATCAAACTTGGGGTCATACCAACTTGGAGTTTCCCAGTATCCAGCACGATATGTAACAAAGAAGTCCTCCCCCAAAAAAAACAAAACAAAATGTGTTGCATAAGCTATATTGAGCCCACTGCATTCCCCTCGAAAATATGAAAGAAATTCCCAAGATTCCCACAAAACAACGTAAGGCACAAAAACAGGGGAAGGTCCCCCCCCCGACTGTGCCGCACATTAAGTGTATTTCCCAGTTGATTGACAGCCGTGAAAAGAGGCTTAAAATGGTGATGAACAAAGAGCTCTATTTAATAAAAGAAATGTCCTTGGTTTACTTCCTCTTGAAAAGTGCGGGAGACAGCTGGATCTTTTTGAGTGCACGACTCCCTGGCGTTTTCAATGTATACCCGTACAATTTTGGTATTGATGTTCATAGCTCGATCAATCTACCGGTTGTCCACTGGATGTTGTGTGTTCAAAACCAATTAACAAGGTACGCTTCGTTGCCTCATTTGTTGAGTTTCAAGATGTAAATAGTACGGAAGTGAAATCATTATGAAACAGGGTTATTGGCCAGCTACAAGTAAAGGGTATATACCACACATATACATGTAATATTGCGTCTAACCTAGTTTAACTTAAATGTTTAATTCTGCATTCCCTCCTCAATGTACTCACATGATAAGGAGAAACGCAGCGACATAAGGAAGTGATATTGCCAACTGTAGATAGCGCCATTCTCGCAACAAGAAAGCAGCGAAGGATAAGAGAATGTATCCCAACGCGAAGAAGATCGCGTGCAGGGTACCAACCAAAACACGTTTCTCGGGCCCAACTATCTCCGTTGCTGTAAGAACAACAACAAACATACACACGTAAATGAACGACTGATAAAAGATTTATTTTACTTGTAACACACTAGATGTGACTTTGAAGTGAAAATATATATCAGTCTATAAACATTAAGACTGCGAATAAAGGTCCTCGTCAAAGTATCGGTCTCGACTATAAAAAGACATATTCACCATCACAGGAAATCACGAATGTATAACCAGCTCTTTGTTTTCTTGTATCGGTGTGAACTCACGATGAACGGGAAGCACACAGCGTAAATGGAAATATAAGGGCAAATTCTGCGGCAATGGCAATTGTTCAAGAATAATCCATTTGTAAATTACAATATATAATATTACAATAAAATTGTAATATTCTCGTTTACATTGACCACCTGAAAAACGACTGTAAAAAGAGGCGTTAGTGTATTTCATTCGTTGTTTTCACATTCGGTAAAGGACAAAAGTCCGTTAAAACAACACAGGTAAGAAAGAATACGGCACTCACAAACAATGATTGGGATCAGGCTGGCTCCATAGCCGCAAGCTGCAGTGATAAACCGCATAGAGGTGTAAGCCGCAAAGTTGGGTACAAAACTTGTCACGATGGATGAAATGGTGACGAGAGACAGACTCAGGAAGAAAGCTGCCTTTCGGCCAACCCTGATCAGAAAAGGGTAAAGTAGACAAAAGTAGGCGAAGTTAAATGGGGAGAGATTTTCATTTCCACGATCCTCACCCCTCGCCGCGACCCAGGCCCACCCTTTCCTCTGTCATCATCCCTAGGCCCATAGCAGCATAGAAATGGTAAAAAGGTGAACTTCTGAAACCCTCGCGCGATCTGCGTAATATGGTCACGGCGATTTCACTCAGGGCCGCCGCCGTACATGTACGTTCAAGAAACCTTTTGGGAGAATTATTTCCACCTGAAACAGCCGTGCTCAAAGAAACGCTGATGTCTGACTTTTATCTTTGTATATTTTAAGCAACTTCAGCTATCATTGTTCCTGAGTTTCCATACAAGTTCACGCCCGGTTGTTTTTATTTATTCACGAGAAAAGTAGAATGTACAACGTCACGGGGATTTATTTACAACAACAGCTGATGGGTTCAAGATTCAGTTGGACTTTCGAAAAGGTAAGATTACACTTAAGAATTTTTCGGGAATGCGGTTTTTCTGGTAAATTAAATTTGTCGAGCTGAATCAGCTCAAATTATTTTGGTTCCACGCTCAGATTTTACCTAAAGGAACATTTTATATCTTCTTATCTGCGTAGAAACAAATGTCACCATGTTACCATAGTTGTGATGTATTTTGGACTTACGGAAGTGAGAGGTCAATTTTGGGCCCAATGTGTCTCTTTCAAGCAATCTTTCAGTTTCTATAAAATTACCGTAAAATTGAAAAATCTATAAAATTACTATGGTAAAAAAAATTGTACAAATATTGTCTCCGAAGGTGATTTCGTCAAATTTAAGAAGTAAATGGAAGAGATGTAAATTTTATTTTCTCCTATTCAAGGGTTTCAGAAGCGCACCATTAGGGGTCAGTCGACCAATCAGTCTCCACATATATCTCCAATATCACATAATTATAACAGCGATCGCGGCCGGAATAACTGACCACCCAGGTCGCTATTACACAAGTAATGTGTGTTATCAAAGACCGAAGGCCAAGAGAAAAATGTCCCTCTTCTGGTCGATTTACACTGAAGGTATTCACTGAATGGAACACACGAGTAATGCAAGGTTTTCGCTGAAAAGCCAGTGATCCTGTAAGCTCAGGGGAAACTATTAGAAACTGTCGGCTTTGATTGATTCATCCCAACAGGAAGTAAGTGATTATGTCGTTTCGCTGCAAATCTTTAAAAAAAAATCTCACCAGTCGCCTACCGATCCCCACACAAAGGAACCTGCTAGTAAACCTGCGAACCACACTGACTGGGCAACTCCAGCGAAAGCTTTCCGCTCACACACCAGGCTGAACTGTTAAAGGGAAACCGAAACGAAACAACTTGGACAAAAAGACAAGAAAATTTAAAGACTTATATACATACCCCATAGGATCATCATGTGAAAAAGTAATTATCACATTCATAGCAAGGAATTTGACACGAGGGAGAAAAATGTGAATTTGAAATCGTTCAAGCAATAACAGTATTCAAGAGTTCGGGCGGTTAAAGTTAAATAACGAGATGCAAAGTGAATGCAGGAATTCACAGCGTGTACTAAGGTTACATACATCCTCGTTGATAGTGGCTTTATAGCGTGATCGGTCAAAATCCCACCCAGCATCACAGGCGATGATATCCGTGGCATTCCGACCTCCTTCGCCATCGTCTTCGGCAGTCACATACCGTTCACATGAGGAGAGGACTGAGTTGCCGTCGGAGTCGAGTTTGTACGGGATGCTCTCGTTTTTCTGCGCTTCCTGACAGGCGGAGTCAGAGTTGACCTGGAATCGGCTGCAGTTGACTGCCTCGCTCACCGGGATCAGGCACCAATGATCGGTGTCGGCCGCCAGAAACACTTGAGCTATGAACTGACACGCCGTTGGAAGTTGTATCATGCACAAGGCCAGAACGACTAGTTTTTGGTACTTGCCGAAATGCCCAACATGTATCAAGATGTCCTCGTAGTGCATTTTGATGCTCGCGATAATTTCTATTGCAGTGTGTTCGAAAATGCCGGCACAGTACTAGTTACAAAACGTGACGCACTTTCAACTCAAAATGTGTATTCTGAAACCATACGGCTTTGTAGACAAGTCAGCCTTCACTTTTAGATTCGCGTTTTGTAACACACTCTCGCCCACATTATGCAAACTAATTGAAGACCCGCAGCGTGCGCCACGCGTCATTGGAGGGCAAGAACAGTCGACTTCGGTGCCTGGGGTAATACCCTGCAAACGGCCGAAATGCTTTATTCCTTTCAATGCAATAATGTGTTAGTCTACATTGTATAATGCACACTTTTTGTGATAGTTGAGCCCTGAAAACCATAACATACCCACACGTTAAATGCATGAAAAATTGTCTCTGCAGAGCTACTCGACCGTAAACCACTAGAAATGCATACATAATGTTCACCGACAACGTGTGTTACGTACATGTGAATATATAATTATGATGTTCCGAAGGTTTGAACGGATTCAAATTGAACGGGATCAGTCGGAATCTGATTGGATTGGGTAAAATGTCGGGCCAGATCGCTCATCTTTTGTAAGTTGACAGAATACGACTTTGTGTTCTATTTCTTTAAATGCACCGTAAAAGTTCATATTTTTCGGGGGGGGTCCACACGCAGTAACTGAAATCCTCCCTCGGTTTACACGATTCCATATGTATTTTATCATTGTAGCTATCCAAGCGGACACTTCTCGGACTTTTTTCTGCGCCGTGCCAGAGTTTTGGGTTTTGTCTACGTTTTACGCAATATGCGCTTATCACAATCACATGGCAACTCAATGCTAGAACATGCACGGATGTTATTGATGTGAAACAGGTGCGGTGCGGCGGTTGCTTGACAATGCACCCGTAAATCTTACAGACAATTGTTAGAAACTTGCCAACCTCTCCTGAACCTGCTCACTCTGAAGACTTTGCTGGCAAAAAGGTCACAAAAAGATTAATCTGGAAGGTGAACATTTCTGCTAAAAACGTAGTTTAATGTGAGAATAAATCATCGAATTAAAACACTCAATTCCACTTTTTTCAAAACACGAAAAAGCGTTGGGAATCATCCAACTAGACCCTTCGGGCTTCTTACTATCCCTAAGGATTTATGCTCCTGGATAAGTTAATGTCCTGGCAAGACTTACCAAGAGAATAATGAAAAAGGCACAAATTTTGACTTGCAACATCTTTTTTAAAAAGTCAGTCATGCTGAATCAGCATGTTTTGGTTATTGAGTTTTAGTTCGTTATATTTTTTTTCTTTGACGCTACAACAGCGAACTGTCACTGCCCGTACCTTTCATAATCAGGGGCGGATCCAGGATTTTCCAAATGGGGGCGTGCCCAGGATTTCCAATGGGGAGAGGGGGGGCGTGAACTAAAGCAGCAATGGTAAAATGCCCGCGAAGAACATGGCGCAAGGACCGGGGGCCTGCCGAAGAAATTTTTGGATTTCAAGCGCCCTGTGGTGCAGTTTCAGGCAGTAGGAATCCCACTTCTTGTTCCATCTGCCTCCTTCGTTTTCTTCTTGATTTATTCACTTTTGGGGGGTTGAAAAAAGGGGGAGTGTGCGCCTCCGACGCTCCCCGGATTCGCCCCGATGATGTTACAAAGAGGGTCCAGTACAATTCATTCGATCAACTCTTCACTGATGAGACGGTACTATTAGCATCATATTATTGTCAGGAATCTATTTTCAATATAAACATCTACCATTTTTTAAGTGAAATTCTTGCTCTAAACTGTTGAGAAACTGTATGCGTTTCTTCTGTAGTTTTATAAAGACCCCATTTTGCTGTCCCTTGAAAATAGACCACTTTTAGATTTTTCGGGATTTTTTTTTTCACTTTTTGCATCAACAAAAAAAACCCACTGAGAGGGTCACATGATCTAAACCTGCCGACTGTGTGCTTGTTGCCTCAGTCAAGACGAAGCGTACCCGTTGTGATTGCATGCTGTCAGGGCTGTTCGTTGTTGCTGTCTGCGTGCCTGTACTTCGGAACTGAAAGATGCTTCATTGCTTTTCATACAATGTACCGCCATTTATGAGACGTTTAACAGCTACATTGTACGAGCATTTTGCGGGCTAATCCGGACCGTATGGCCCAGCTGGCGGATGCTGGCATGAAACTCAGTGAACCTGCAGCTGGAATTTATTGATATGCTCATGTTATTGTGGGTGTGCCAGAATATCGTGCCCCTTGGGGTTTTATCCTGCGCTCCAAACAAGTACATGTCATGTTACGTAAAAAAATGATATATGATTCCTTTGTGCCAAGATTAACGAAAATTTTCACTTTACAGCCAAAATGAAGAGCCTGAAATGCGTGCACCGCTATAAAAGTTGACTAATGAAAAAGACTTATATAATCGATATAATTCTAGCAGAACTAGCAAGTGATAGGCCTACATCTATGAATTAATTTTGATTTGAAGTTGCTTTTCATGGTATGACTGGATGTGAAAGTAGTCTTGGTAAAGACTTCAAATTACATATTTGTCATGCTCTAATCGACTGAATTGCTGATTATAAATGATCTCGTTCGTTAGAATATCAATTGTTGAAGTTAGCAAAAATTTCTCTATACACCTTTAGCATTAGCGGAGCTTAAGAGCTCGTCAAGGCCACAGTGCGATACATCGCTGTGGACCAGTTGAAGTGAGCAGTTCAGTATAATTACAAATTTGTCCTCATAGACGTCATAACTCGCTATTTTGAATGTATTCGTATTCAAAGAATATTCATTTGATTTCAAATCTGTGCAGAATCTGATTTCTCAGTTCCGACCTCGTGCACTTTTGACGAAAGACAGTGCTAGAAGTTTTCATTTCTTTACCCCGGGAAACCCACTTAAACAAGAAAATAATGGATATATGATTTACAAGAGAGTTTTCTGAAGCGAAGAAAAAAAAATCAACTGCCGTGGAAAATGGGGGACGATATCGCGGCTGACCAACCGGCTGAGTAGCTCGATCATCGGGTGCCTTTAATAGAGATGCTGGTTGAAACCTATGACATCACAGATAAGCGCCAGGGGCCGGGGAAGTACAATATGCCGCACTAGAGTTCAGTAGGTAGATTCAGATCTGGATGGAGAAAAAACACAACTAGCTAGTGGCGTGCTTTCGCGACCCCTAAAAGGAACAAAGATCTTCATCCAACGGAGACAAAGTACGAGCGCCAGGGCACACGCTGTTGACGGTGACAAATGTTATCTTTGACTTTGTTTACTAAACAATGCCCAGCAAGTTTCTTAATTACTGTACTGCAGTATTTTTTACATTCTAAAGGAAAGTAGCCCCTTTTGGTTCGCTTCTTTGCAATGCATAATTCACTAATTGGAGAGACCGCAAACAATATTGTCTGTTCGTTTTCCTGGCGCTTTGTGCTTTCTTGGCAGCACCAATTCTAACTTTTGGTTCTCGTTTGACCCTGATCAATACGTTACACTGGAATGGGCGAAGTCACCCAATGCCTAACCAATGACTAAAGTAGAAAATATCTGGCCAGGGGTGCGAAATTTCGCTCATTCCGCCATCGCCCTTAGTGCGCTGGGACTCAAGGCAAAGTCAAAAACCTGTGAAGGAAATACGCCACAGCTACCCAACAAGCAAAGCAAAGCATTATGGGTTACTGTCTGCTGTCCTAATCAACAACACGGAAGCCCCATTTTTTTTATACGACGTCCCTGATCAACACAGATACATTCAGTGCACGCGCATGTCAGGTGCACTCAGAAGTGTTCACCCAGGTTTTTGTTCATATGCAAAGACTTTGCGAAACGGGACAAGCCCCTTCCCTGCCCCACCCACCCCTTGGGAGCTCCTACCCCCTCCTGGACCTCCTATAAAAAATGGGATGGAGGCTATCGCCATGTCATCCATGGTGACATGCGTTACATTAGTCTAAATTGACTTATGTTGACAAGGTTCTTGAAAGAGCCAAGAACTCAGTGGTGCAGCCAATAGGTACATCCCTCAGAGGAACTCTTGCTCCCCCCCCCGCCCTGTCGACAAAAAAATTGCGTTTTGCCTTTCCCAAAACCCTGCAGCTGTGTAAGGGTATGGGGGGCGTGACGAGCGAAAGCGAAAATGTTGACAATGCCCCTGCTATGCCTAACTGGAATCACCTAGTCGAGTGAGGGCGCCCTCAAAAATTGCTCTTGTAATGACTTTGTTGTATGCTGCGTGTTTTTTCCTATGTAAAATGTTTGCCTTCGATGCTGTCAGCTCGACAAACGTCTTGTTCTCTTTTATATTCATTTTGTTAATTTCGCAGAACTGCCGGGGCAATCTCCCGAACTTTCTGGATGATGTAGAAACGGAAATTAACAGTTTGGCAACGAAAACGCTGCGACTGTACAGGGGTCTGTGCAGCGTGTCGTCAACGGACTGCTCTTCCGCGTTTGACAAGTACGTGCGCTAGGAACTAGAACTGACACGAACTGACCATTTTGGGAAAGAGTTCCATACACGGACATCACTTGACACCCTGTGCACAAACTTATGGGGCTGGTCTATAAAATTCAAATGTTAGGTGCTCTTTAACTTAAGTAAATGCTTCAGTATTTTCCTTTCAGCATGTTTGACTCTGGCATGTCTGGACATGCTTCGCTTGTCACTTGCCAACTTGCAATTTGTGCAATGCATGTTGATGGCTAGGCCTACATTTAAACCACTTCAAGGGAAAAAAAGGGATGTCTGTATATGGAACTCTTAATTTTTTTTCAGTTGTATTTGTCAGGCAGGGGTGTACCCGGGATTATCAACATGTGCTAGGAAGGGGGGGGGGGGTAAAAAATGCAATGGCTTGGCTCCAATCTCCATAAGCCCAAAGTGTGAAGGGGATACTGAGTTATTTACAGTGTAGAGGTTCTGTTAGTGGTACGTCATGCGATGCTCCCAGGATTTTGAAAGGACATTAAATCTAGTGCATTTTAATTGCCAAAAAGGGACAAATCCAAATATGGTACTGGTAGGCCCTATGTTTTGTAGTTATTCTATGAAATGAAACAATGGAGGATTACAGAGGGTTAGAAAAGGGGGGGTTCTTTGGACTTCCCGAACCTGTCCCCCCCCATGCTTGATTTTCATTCAGTTTATGGTAGAATTGATCACAGTTGTCGTGTTTATTTTGTCTCCTTAGGAATAGCTTTGCTTGCAGCACCAATGAAATCAAAGGGGCTGGATCATATTGCTCGTCTAATCAGGGTTCAGCTTACTACACGTCTGAACCTGGATGTACTCAATGTGAAAATAGGTAACTGTGTCACGTATACATAAACCTCCTAACTGAACTGGTGTTTCAGAACATTCCATTTCCGTTATGCATGCATTGAAGAGGACGCCTTTCAAATTAACTACAAGAGCAATTTTGCTTCTCGTGCTATTTGCCCACTTCTAACAATTTCACAAAGTGTACCAAACAATGTAAGGTTTTGCTTTGAAATTATAGTTCAGTAACCTACACCACTAGGAAGGAAAGGTGGTAGGCCTGTTCATTTTTGACTACGTAATTTAATATTTGATTGTTAAAAAGTGCATGAGACTGAATGTTTGAAAGCAGGCTGATCATTTTTTTTTAGACTTGCCAGTTTAAACTACATAGCACACCAGTTAAAAATTGATGGAACAGCATGTAGGTGGCCTGCATGTGTTGAAGTTATGGAGCATTAGTCGACATTAATTTGCACAAACCTTTGGTTACAGACAGATTATTTTGATAACACATTAGGCACACTGGTACAGCATCTTGTACTTGAATATTCTCATAAATTGCCATTCAAGTATTCAGTTTCAGGTCAAATATTTGATATATTCACCACCTAGGAGGGGGAGAAAGAGATGTACATGTACATGTAGAGCATGGGTATTGCCCAGGAGGGTAACAGGCATGACAGAGCTCTTCACTTGCCAGGGGAAGGGGGAACAGGCATAACAGAGCACTTCACTTGCCGGGGGGGGGGAACAGGCATAACAGAGCACTTCACTTGCCAGGGGGAGGGGAACAGGCATAACAGAGCACTTCACTTGCCAGGGGGAGGGGAACAGGCATAACAGAGCTCTTCACTTGCCAGGGGGAGGGGAGAAGGAGATGATACAATGTAAAAAGTCAACTGACAAACCAACAATGCAAGGGGTCAGTGCCAAGGTATTTGCAAGCAAACTGTCCTCTCTCCTCCGTTCTTTTTTCAGATCTTTTTGCTATATTTTCCGTTGTGTTTTTCCTGTTTTATAAAGTTTTTCCCTTTTGGGGGGGTGTTAGCAAAAGGTCCCCGCCCCCCCACCTTCCATAATGATAGCAAATGCATCAGTGGTGTTCACGGAACCAAATAAGTGTGTGCTAAGCCAAAGTCGAGAGGTACATATACAATGTACACTGCTACAGTGCAATGCATATTATTATATAATTCACTTTGTTGCATGTTACCCATAAACCACGTCTTTAATTCTCATCTCTAGGCGTTTGAATCGAGACCGCTCTTTAGTTCGGACTGCCAGCAGCAACTGTACTTGCCAAGATATTGTAAATGCTGACGTATGCTGGACAAAAGGTCCGTATTTTCAAGCATCTTGATAGCTTATTGCAGTAATCATTGCAGTCGATCATGACCAGCGTGCTGACGTTACCGGATGAAATTATAGCAAAGGAGAATTTTCAGTTTTCTCCTGTTTTCCTCAGACCTAGCCGTCTGTCTCAGATGCTTATCGATGAATGCACTCATTTTTATTAGGGGAAAATAGTGCTTTTAAAAGTAACTTAACTTGGTGAGCCCCAATCCGTTTTTCTCTACTTAGAAATAAATTTGTGCATGTGTATGTTGTGGTTAGACCAAACAGGAGTGTTGGCAGATTTCACATTTGTTTGTTTCCGTTCCAAGGTATTGACGACGACTTAAAAACCACAAACCTTCCCGGGTTGCTGTGGCAACAGATTGCTACAACACATGGATTTACTAGGTAATCAGTAAACCTAATGGGAAGCCATGGTGCCTTCTCATCGTTCATCCCAACCCCTAGAACTTGTGCCCCTTCCCCATCCCAAGGGCTTTTCTTTTTAGAATTTGCTGAAGTTGCAAGCAAGCATGTACATGTTACGCACCACTCACAGGTACACTGAGGAATAACTCCATGTAAGTGATTCCCGCATCTAAGTTCATTGTTTCAAAATCCAGTTACATTTGGTGCGCACAAAACTCTGTTCACTGTTTGATAAAGTTGTGCCTGGCCTATTCTGAGTTTTTCAGGTTTAACCACTTGCAAAGGGTATTATTTTTTGGCCAACATTTTACTTTCATAAGGGGTGAGATTCAGGAGCAAATCTCGTGACACACACGTACAGCCAAACACCAGGAATGATGCTCTGTTTGAGCCATTTGAACAGTATTTGTGCAGTAGTTCTGACGCAAGAAACAAGAATAAGCATCAGCCAAAGGTGATTCCAGATTTGCTTGAGGCTTTAACCTGTCCGCCGTGCCTCTCCAGACAGTGTGGACATGCCCTCTGTCACAAAGTGGTTAAGGGCTACATTTCCCCACCCCCAGGCTGTATCCAGGGTCAGCCCAGGAGGAGTGCCACAGCTACGACCCGCGGCTGCGCTCGTGGTTCGTCGCGGCCTCAGCCGGGCCAAAGGACGTGGTGATTCTGATCGACTCTAGTGCATCGATGAGTCTAGTACCCAGAAACAGGCAAGGGAGCAACTTGTCCCTCATGCAGCTGGCCAAACGGGCCGTGGCCCATGTGCTCCGAACACTTACATTTGTCGGTAAGATGCCATGCTCATGTACGTGTCATATATGTTGGGGTCTAGTCAGTTGTAGTTTGTGGATTTTCTCTTGTGTGCTAAGTGGTCGCTGTGAAAGATCTGAATGTATAACGTACATTTGGACTGCTGCCAACCTCTGGAGGTCACAGGTCATCATACTGTAGGTCACTTTAGTAATGATATATCTTAGCGGGAAAAAAAAACACTGAATAATTTTAATGAAGGTATATACATGTAATTTTGTGGTGTCGCACATCTGTAAACAACCCTTCAGTGCAATAATGGCATCCAGACATCATTGACACTGCTTCCGTCTGTTTCGTTATCACAGATTACATAGCCGTGGCGAAGTTTTCAACTGAATCAGAACAGGTTACCGTGAATGAGGTGTACACGCTGATCCAAGCGACACGGGATAACGTCGGTGCTCTCATTGTACGTTGTCATTGTTAGATTACTGTTTTGTTTTTGTTTTTTCAGGAGTTTTAAGATTTCTACTGACCTTTAAAACCCTGAGAAGTAGTTAAATTTGTAAAATATATTCCGCTTTCTTGAAGAGTACATGTACATGGATTTCAGCCAACACCATTAAAACTTGGGAAAGTACTTGAAAAATACGCACAAAACATCAAATTTAAGAAGTGGCAATTTCAGCATCTAGTTCTGTGAACATCTGCCTTCATTGATCATTCATCATTGATCAGAAACTATTTTCTCATGTCAGTTTTTGAAAATTGTTGAGTCTTTGACGTCTGTGTTCCACATAATAGTTTAATGTGACCATACAAACGTAGTTAAGTTTCTGATGCCTTGTGCAGTTTACCAGACATGGTGCCTGTGGTTTTTCCCGTTGCACTAACCCTCAGGAAGAAGTGAATAATATTCAGCCGGAGGGCCACACCAACTTTGAGCAAGCTTTCCGGCTGGCTTTCCGCATCTTTGAAAGGTCAGCCAGCGTTGGTCGCACCACAGGCTGCAACAAAGCCGTCTTGTTCATGACGGACGGGTCCCCGACCCGTGGGGAAGACGACCCTGCAAAACTCGCAGAGATTGTGGACGACCTGAACACGAGGTGAGACACGCAGTTCAAAGGAGGTACTTCAATAATCTGACAACTCCCCCCCCCCCACTCAAAACACCAAAGTTTTGTGGGTCTCATGTTCAAGTTTTACTTCAAGTTCAAATTTGCCACTTTCACATCTCAAACATTTTATTCCATTCGCCGGAACTCCGACATAGGTCAGACGGAACTAAGATCGCCAGCATCTTTACGTACTCTATCAGCGAGGTGGCAGAGAAAGAAATCTCCAAGCACATCGCCTGCAGGTACGTCAAGAATTATTACAGAAAACTTTGAACCCAGGCTGGTACTTCTTTGTTCCAAAAAATTTGTGATGGCCTGGTGTGGCTGCCCGAGGCACCTGCCTTGGGCCAGACCGCATCATAGCTACATCCTTTTTAATTCAGCCCTCCGACCATGCATGACGAAGATTGCTTTCTCCTCGACAGTCACGAATTGGGAGGTCATCATTAAGGTCATGGAGGGTCAAACAAAATAGGTCAATTTGTTTTCCCCGGAACCTTTTCTCTTTCCTCCAGTGCCAACGGCGTGTGGTCAGAGGTGGAGACGGGCACGGCAGCGAGTCTTCAAGAGCAGCTCAGCCAGTACTACGAGTACTTTAGCACTTTACACAAGGGTCCCAGCGGCATCATCTGGACCGAGCCCTACCTGGACTCCTTCGGGGCAGACATGGTCATCACAGCTGCCAAGGCTGTGTACGACAGCTCCAACACAAGCCAGAGCAAGCTGGTGGCCGTGGTAGCCATTGACATATCCTATGCATATATCCAGGAGGTGAGACAGGGTCTAATGTCAGCAGCCAGGGCCACGTTGTAGGAAAATTTCTTCATAAAACTAGCACCAATATGTGACCCTCTTGGTGAAAATGAGGCTGTTTGTTTCAGCAATTTGGTTTCAGTTTGCATTAGAAAGAGCACACTGAGTTCGTTATTTTGATGCCCCACTCATTTTGAGTGGGTGAAAAATGTTGATAGTTCCCATTGATTTCCATCATGTTGGATTCTTTTAAAGGCCTGTTACTGAAAAGGAGCTCTTGCAGGGTTCATGGGTAACGTGTGAGGATTTCGGAGTACTTTCAGAGAATTTTTGAATCTCCACCGTACCTACTGTGTAACAACTATGATAATATCAATAATGGAAATTCAATTAAAACTACCAAAGTCTGCCTGAAAGCGGCTCAAGATCCAGTACAAGGCACCCAGAAAAGTCACTCCAACTCAAAAAATAAAGACAAAACCAAAGCAGACTTTCATGGTTCCTAAATGAAATCCCAGTGTTCAAAACACTTTTCCTCACCATGTCTCCTCGCAAAACTGTTCTGTGTCGTTTGAATAACAGTTGGACGACAGCAAATCAAATGTAATGGCAGAGCTGCAGAGACGACAAGAGTTCTGCCCAAACATCGCTGTGTACTCAGAGTGCGAACTGGAAGTCCTGAGACAGAAGGTGTACACCGAGGGGTCTGTCAGTTACGAGAGTCGTCCTGACAAGATCTGTGGCATTGAAAACGTGGGTAGAATTGAGCATTTGATGTGAATTGGTGGATAGATTTGATGTCAGAAAACCTCATGAGTTTAGCCACCGAGTGATTACATGCACATCAAAGCTTTTTGGCAGAACTCAGTACTCTGTGTCGCCTGCTTCAGCAAACTTGATTTTTTTTGGCAAGCAGCTGCATTATTAGGCTAGAAAGCCAAATACCTGTGGATATCAGTGAAATAAAAGTTTTATAGCTTGAATGGTAGATTATGTTTCTGTGATATGATTTTCTTTTAAAGAATGGTTCAATAGTTTTCACAAAAGACCTAAGGGGGAAGGAATTTATTTTACGATAAATGCCAAACTGTTCCCAATATTACAAAATTTTTTGCTTGAGCGCAAAAAAAACCTTGTTTAAAAAAACAAAGGTTACCAGCTTAAAATCTATGTGATTGTCATGTTAACCAAACGACAGGTGAATACCATTCCAAAATAACTTACATCACATGGAGTTTTGGCTGGTAATCTGATTCATGTGATTTGTCAAGCAAGGTTTTTTTTTCACGCTTAAGCAATTTTGTGCTTGAGCAGCTCTATGAAATTGGCCCCTGATCTGTTCCATGGCAGACCTGCCCACTACCAGCTGACACCGCCTGTCCAAATAGAACATTTCAGTACGACCAATGCACACAGCACAGCCAGGCCACTCAAGATTACAAGGTAAGACAATTATCTAACAGCTGTGAACAGGGCCACTCAAGATTACTAGGCAAGACAATTATCTAACAGCTGTGAACATCATGGCATCTGTCAGATGATAATTTCCCCCCCCCCAGGGCTCAAATGACACCACCAGCCCCACTCTCAGGGATCCCTGCTCTTCGGAGTTTTGAGGCAGCGAGCGGAAATAAATTCTTATGAGCTCTTGCCAGCTCTTGCCAGTCTCCATAGCATTGTACCTGGTAATTCTACCATGAACCATTCCCATGCTGTTATTATTCTAACCAAGAGGTTCTGCTCCAGTGCATTATTCATGTTTCGTTTCCCTGTCCAATGAGGCCATTTCTGTGATTCATATGGTGCAAACATTACCAGAAAGAGCACGGCATGCTTCTGGGATTTGCATGGCTGACTGTATAGGCTGGCAACCTGGCTGCTTGGGCTGTACACTCTTTGGCTTGAATTTGGTGAATAGAGCCACATGCAAATTTCTATGTGGCCTGCTATAACTTGTGCGCTTGTTGAAGACATTGGCTGGTGGCTGCGGCCTCTTCCCATAGACGAGTGTGTTACTCCTAGCCGTAGTCACTTGATTTGGATGCGGCTTGGAGCACTAGTATCACATACAGGGTCCTCCAATATTGCACGGAACCTAGTCAAGCTTCACTCTTAAGCCTTACCTGAATGACTTGGTTGTGGCTCGTGACCAAAACCATTTCCCATAGACACGTGCATTATCAGCAGCTCCAGCCATGTTGCTTGGACACTTCATTACCCTCGTTATACCCAACGGTCTCTCTATCATGCTCTTTGCTTCGCTTTTAGGAAGCTGCTTGCTGTGGGACGTTTCTGCCTTGTCCATCTTCTGTTCCTACCAATTCTTTGTCACCTCTCCTCAGTGCCGCCCTGTCACTACTCGGGGTGATCATCGTTTGCTGTCTGTTATGATAAAGGCGTCCAGGGGTTGTTGCATTATAGCTTTTCAAAATGAAATAAACCTAATTGAGTCTTTAACTTGACTACTTACGGAAGGGTTTTATTATCAGGTGGCAATTTTGGGTACAATCTAATTGTGTGAATTCCAGGATGACTGTCACTGTCAAATACAACCGAGCCAACCTTGCCTACAAGTACAGTTCTCCTAAGATTGAATGTTTAACTGTGCCGTATGTCAACTGCCTTTCTTAACCGAGAAGTGTTTAAAAATGACTGGATCAAATGTTTTTGGAAGTGGTAGTCCATTTTTGTTTAATGTGTTTTGACCCAGACATACTGAAACACATGTACACAGAACCAATCCGGAACCAAGCTAATCTATCCAACTTTTAATTTTGTCATACTTTGTGTGAAAAAGTAAGAGCACATTCTTCTCTGATGAAGAACAGAGTAAACAGTTTGAAATATCAAGTTGAAACAGCTGGTTCCTCTGAGAACCATGTAACTCAAAACAGAGGTTAACCTCCATGATGTTACCACAAACCTGCCACACTTTGTCCACAGTGCAAACCAAAACAACTGGTTCCTCTGAGAACCACGTAACTCAAAACAGAGGTTAACCTCTGTGATGTTACCACAAACCTGCCACACTTTGTTCATGTCCACAGTGCAAACCAAAACAACTGGTTCCTCTGAGAACCACGTAACTCGAAACAGAGGTTATCCTCCGTGATGTTACCACAAACCTGCCACACTTTGTTCATGTCCACAGTGCAAACCAAAACAACTGGTTCCTCTGAGAACCACGTAACTCGAAACAGAGGTTATCCTCCGTGATGTTACCACAAACCTGCCACACTTTGTTCATGTCCACCGTGCAAACCCACAAGTCTCGTTAAGAACACACTGTATCATAAGGATAGTCTAGATTTCTTCAGCCTTCAAGCGTTCTGAGCTTGTTTTGGAGTACATGGACAACAATAATTCTCACTTTCCGGAACCCTCCAATTTAAGCAAAAAACTTGCTCGTACTCTCGGGGTTAGAACTTTCTGTAAAATGTAAGTTATCAGGTTTTCCTTCTTGATTGTCGGGGGGATTTTTTTCAATCAAGGATCAGAGGCCTTTGCATATTCCTACATGTATGGTACTTAGTGAATTTTGTACAGGAACTTTTGAATGTCTTTCTTGCGGGAATATAAAAATTAAATGGACAGCATGTAGTACTTTTTTACACAATCTTTTCATATTGAGCATTTAGATATTTGTGAATTACGATCATTGTTGTAAATATTCAGGTGTTTCAATTTTTAAGAAATTTTTTCAAACACTCAGATGCCAATTTACTTTAAAACCTCAACTGGATTTTCAGGAGATTACAAAATTTTCAGAGGGCATGGGGGGGAATTAGCTTTTTCTGGAATTGTAACGCAATTAATAAATACCAAATTGTATTAAATTTCGTATGAAGGAAATTATGTTGTATGTAACTTTGTGGATCATACAGAATTATATCAGAGTTTTACATTGTATAATTTTATTTTGCAAGTAAAGTGAATGGTTGTTACTAGAGCCAATGTCTCACAGCAAATACCACATGAAATGGGGAGAGCTGAAATTTGTCCATCAAGTAGAGGACGTGAGTTTAAGTCTTGTCACAAACGAGGCGATATTGGCAGTAATGACCTAATACTGCCCCACATAAGTATTGTACAAAGAAGGAAAAGTGTAATAAAAACAAAAGTCACTGTATTGTAAACTGGTGCTGTCCTCAACTGTGTTGGTAACAGATCAAGCTGTCATATAATTTTGGGCCAAGTCAGGAACTCAATTTTAACAGGCCATTCGACCTACCGGTGTTCGCTTTGAAATCTGAACCTGCTTTCAGTATTCAAATTTGAGCAAGAACTTGCTGGTAACTCGCTGTGGAATAGTGTCGTGAGTGTGGTTGTTTTTTTTTTTTTTTAAATTAAATTAAAAGAAATCTGTAAGTCAAAATGTTTTGCCAGTGCCTGCCCGTTTGAGTTTATACTGGTTCGGTCTGCCTTTCCGGGTTATTTTCTTGATTCTGCGGTGGCTCATCCAGATTGGGTAGTTGCCGTGCTCATTCTGGAGTCCTTTCTGTTTTGGTTTGGCTTCACCGTCTTCTTCCATGGCTTCCATGGTCTCCTGCCGCTCTGGGTCAGTCACTGTAGCAATAAAATGTAACAAAAGATGAGGAAAACTTCATCTTTCCAACCCACTAATTAAAAAAACTTGGTATGTTGATACCGAAGACTAGATAGACAGATGATAACATCTGCTGTCAATATCCCTCGGAGCTTTTGTCTTCAAAATTTGGTTGGAAACCTGGGCCAAATTTCACAGTAAAGAATCCTTCCACATGCCGAAGATTCCACAATTACACTCAGTACATTTCACAGCACGCAACTATAATTTCACAGCAAGTGATTTTGGCATACCTGCATCCTATACTGAGGGTAACAAGGGATCCTACATTTATGGGGTAAAAACCGATTCCTTCTCACGATCAACAGCCCGAGAGAGCAGACCACCCTTTGTAGTTTTTCAAGCTTGCCTCCCAAAGTGCAACCTTGATCTTCGGTGTACTGGCCCAACGTCGGGAGAAACCACTGCTACCACATACATGTACATGTATCAAGTGCAACACTCCTGAGAGTGCAGTACCTGCTGAACTTAGCCAGGAGGTAACAAACGGTTACACTGCCATGTCTCCCCCCTACCTGATTTATTTTCTGTGTCATCATCCATCGTGGTCTCTTCTGGCTGCGCTGCATCTGTCTTGATCTTATCTCTGTCGGGGACAAATCGCAGGTCATATGCTGTTCCTGAGGCTTGATTTACTGTGGGCTTGTTCAGAATCATATCTCGGACATCGCTGACTGCAGTTTACCAGGAAATGAACACAAAGAAATGAACTTCTAGACAGTCATGCATGCTGTTGATTTGCTTGTACACGATAAATTCAGCACCTCAACCCTTTACATGACGATATCTCGCAAAAGGATTTTTGTGGCTCCACATACATGTACTGAACACTAAGTACATGCCGTCAAATGAAAGTTAACCCTGGCCCTGACAAGTCTGCAAAAGCACCATGTGAACATGTCTTTCTCTAGTTCACACAAGTGTTGGAACAAACCTTAGGTCCTCAAGGCAAAGGCTTGGACCATCAAGTCCTTAGGCTAAGGCCAAGGCCTAAAATCAAACCATAAGGCCAAGGCTCAGCATCGAGGCACTGCATCACTCGTTCACACCACCACCATGCAACATTTCAAGTCTCACTTCTCTCAAACACACCAAACTCCGGATCCTTGAAAATCTGCCACTGTCCAGGAAACCGATCGCTGATTCTTTATCAATAAACTTCAAGGGACCTCAACCTCCTTGTTTGACAGTGGCTCAGCCTTATCTATACATGTACTTTCCTCAATCCTGTCAAATCCAAATGCCTTGGCAGATTTTGTAAGATACAGAGGATTAGATTGAACCAGGTGTAAATGCTGGATGTTTCAAATTTCCAACAAGCAAAGCTTCTCACACTTGTAGACGTTCTTCTCAGGGTCATCCTCCTCTGGCTTCAGCAGTCCCAAAATCTTCTTCAGTCGTTTAGCCTCCCGGGGAGCGTTTCTGGTCCTCTTGATCGCTCGCAGTTTTCTCATCCGTTTGCTGCGGATACTCTTTGCCATCTCGCCTTGGGTGACTTAGTTGCTCACAGTTACTCAGTTTATTCCCTTTGAGATGATGGACGAAGTGTCAAAAACAGAACAGTATGTGTGGGATTCAGATGCAACTAGGCTCATTGCGCATAAGCTCACTGAAGATTCACAAGCAGTGAGGGAAGAATTCCGTTTGGCACAGCATTTTTTTAAACAAAAGCATAAACATGAATTTCTATTATATTGTGGGATAATTTTAGCACAGAAATGGTTCATCTTAGACCTAAGAGGAATACAATATAGGTTTGAAAAGTTGGCTAAGCTTGGTGGTGTTTTAAGCATTCAAAAGCTGTGATGGTTTGATGTGCTAACAAAATGGATATACATGTACATGTACCAGTCGGTGATCCACTGATAATATTCAGATAACTCAATATTATGCAGACTCCATAAAGACTAATGAAAGCCATGTTTGATTCAATATTTCGTTCTTTATTCTTTCCTGAAGATGTTCTGAATAAAGAACGAAATATTGAATCAAACATGGCTTTCATTAGTCTTTATGGAATCTGCATAATATTGAGTTATGTACATCCTTTCAGAAAAAGTTTTGTACTCAGTCATCACGATTATCAAGTTTTACAAACGCCAACAAGTTTTGAAAACATGATCGAAAGCAATTTTTCACTAATACTGAAACAGTTTTCCCTAGTCCCAGTAACTACATGTACATGTATGTATAGGACCCTACAAATCACCTCTTTTATTAACATTTGGACACGGTCAGGCAATACATGTCCAAATATTTATTGTACTAGTACTTAAGAAATACTAAATGAAATGAACATAGGCCTATTTATTGCACTCGTGACGCACATAGAGTACATGTACATGTACACCACAACGTACATGTACCCCCAGAGGGGTTCGACGTTCGTGGGAGCGGGGCGGACGTCGGACCCCACAAGTTCTGGGGGGTACGCGTTCTTGCTGTAATGAACTGTCCGGAAATTGGGCAAAATCTGTGTACTTGTGACCAATGAACAGACAATTTATATGTATGCTAATGTTTTGCAAATAATTCATATTACTAGCATTTTTTTCTTCAAAAACGTGTTCCACGGAATAAAAAAGCGACTTCCAAATTGAAATTTACTCACCTAACTAAGGCAGATGATCATTGAGATGGTTCGAAGATCACACGTGCTGAAATCGAAGGTCAAGTATGTCCGGTACCTTATGTTTTTGGTTACTTATGAAGCACAACTTGTTGAGGCACCAGACTTAAATCGAAGTTTCAGCGGTCGGTACTGCCGATCGAAATCGCTTGTTGCAGTTGCTTCCAGTTTTTGCGTGGTTTATCCAACCTTTCTATGTGTTTGTGTATCAAAGAAAGCACCAAGCTGCAGTACGGACTGTAACGTGTATCACTGAACAAAAATGAAAGCACTTAAACGATTTAGTCAACTTGAGTTTCGTGTCCTTTTTTCAGCACCTACGCTTCCACCTCCAGCATCTAGCTCCGCGTGCAAGCTTCAATGCACGGTTGCCATGGACCACCTCGAAGAGGGGGAAGTACCGAACCATGCAGCAAGAGACTTCAGGGCAACGCCGAAAAGAAAACGAAGGAGACGGAAAGCTGATGATCAGAGTATTTTTGCTGAATGTGGATTTCCCTGGTCAGAAAAGACAACAGTGGATGAACTTGAAAAACACATTTCCAACAGCAAGGTTTATGATAAAGGTATTAAGTCACTTTACAGCCTGAGGTGGGGTGTCCCAGCAATCTGAACCATTTTCCAAACATTTTGGACATTTTAACATGGTCTGGCAGATGTCCCAATCTAGCTACTATAACGACTGTTTCTAGACTTAATCAAAATGTTTTTAAGAGGCACAATAGGGCATATAGGACATGTACATGTAATAAAATAATTACATGTACATGTAGGGTCTCAGTTTCATTAAAATTATAAAGAGGGAGGGAAATTGTTTGTGAAAATGCAGAACTTTCTTTAAAGTTGATATTATTGTTGGATTCCTCATGACAGCTTTGCCGTTTAAAGTAAGACATAGGTCCCACCAATAGCTCTATGCCTTCCTGTTATCAGTCATACAGTAACCATTACAGCCAAGGAGCTGTTCAGTCCACATTCCAACAGAAGGTATAAACATGAGATCAACAGAAAAATGTTGAGTCATCCAAATCCGATAGAATCTAGCAATAGCAAAGTGTGCTGCATACTGAACCCAAGAGAATCTGGCAACAGCAAAGTGTGAACCCTGCAGAATCCAACAGAATTCAACATACTGCAAAAAGTGCAGTGTACTCAATCCAACAGAATCCAACACAAGGAAAAAATGCAGCTTGTTGAATCCGGCGTTGAGAATCTGGCAATAATGAAGTGTGAACCTTGCAGTATCTACCAACAGCGAAGTGTGCCGTTTGCTAAATCCAACAGAATCCAAGAACAGCAAAGTGTGCCATTTTCTATAGATCCAACAGAATCTGGCATCAGCGAAGTGTGCCGTTTGCTAAATCCAACAGAATCCAAGAACAGCAAAGTGTGCCATTTTCTATAGATCCAACAGAATCTGGCATCAGCAAAGTATGCAGTTCGCTGAATCCAACAGAATCTGGCATCAGCAAAATGTGCAGTTTGCTGAATCCAACAGAATCTGGCATCAGCAAAATGTACAGTTCACTGAATCCAACAGAATCTGGCATCAGCAAAATGTGCAGTTCGCTGAATCCAACAGAATCTGGCATCAGCAAAATGTGCAGTTTGCTAAATCCAACAGAATCTGGCAGCAAAACTTGCAGATTGCCGAATCCAACAAAAGCCAAAATTAGCAAAGTCTGCAGTTATCTCAATCTAACAACTGCATGTGTATTGCTGCAAAATGGACCCTTTATAGCATCCAACCTACATGTACAATGTACAATTCCAATGTGCGCAAACAGCCTATGAAATAATCTTTCGAAATCCATCTATTATCCCTTTTTCCCACCAATAGATGGCATCATCGCGCTGAACAAGCCAGCTGGCATTCCAGTAACAGCCGGCAGTCAAGATAATCTTGTCAGTGTTGTAGAAATCCTGCCTAAGCTGGTTGAGGCTATCGGCAAACCAGCGGCAGAGATTGCCAAAGCTGCAAAAAAGTGAGTCAGTTAAAAAAAAACACCTTGCATGCCCACATGCAGGCATTAAGATGTTTGGGATTTCAAAGACCCCACTTTATACAGAGTGTTGGGGAACGAAAACTCTGGTCTTGGATTGTTTCAGTCATTCCTTGACACTTGAAAACTGATTGTCATCCTTTCCTATCTTGAGGGAATCTTCGGGACTGCTCCTACTTGGTGAGGATAAGCAGACAGCCAATGCTTTAAGTGATGCATTCCTGATGGCTCGGCGTAGAAACCAACTCATCAGGAAGTACTGGTAAGGAGCAGTCTGTCTGTCTACAGTCAAAAAAAAAAAGAAGTAGAGGGAATGTAACAGTGGAACTATGTTTCGTAGACGTACACAGCCTTTGTAAGTTCATCTTAAATGTACATTTTCCTTTGCGTATACTTTTTCATACAGGGCCTTAACTGTTGGGATACCTTCACCCGTTCAAGGTTTGCAAACGTTTGTTCCATATTTCAAGTCAAAATTGACAGATCTTTTGTTCAAATTATCGGAATGAATTACAGAAGTTTCAGAGTAGAAAGTTCTCTTTTATTTTTATTGTGTAGAGTTCTAAGAATCAACTGTAGCTTATCCCGTGGCTTGACCTGTAGATGAAAAGGAATTAAATTTTGAGGTTCACCTTGAAATATAAGCAATACAGATTTCCTCCTCACACAAACTCTTAAACTCTTTAATATTCAGGACATTTTAGCTGAACTGTGTGGGGCATTATATGATATGTACAGTTTGGAAATGCCAAGACAAAATCTTTTAAAGTGGGCTCCATCATTTGACCCAAAGTATTCAGTTTGCTCACTATAAACGGGCTGGAAATTTCTACGACGACAAATTCAGTCCAAACAAGTACATGTAGGTTTGCATTATGTGCATAAGGATTATGTAAAAGCCCTTTTACACTCAGTTTCTAATTGATGGTTGTCATACCTGTAGGAACCATTAACCTTCCAATTGGTGCAGAGAAAATTGGAGATCAGACTTTGGTGAGTGAGACTTGTTTGTCAATACTTTTTAACCATTCGGTTCCGAAGAGAATTACCTCCTCTCTTAACCCAGTAGGAACACCCGCGTCAAGGACACCATTTTGTTACAAAGTATCTATCTTTAATTTGACACAAAATTAAGATAAAAATCATTGTAACCAGCCATCTGTCTCTGCTTGTCCATGGATGGTGTGCTTGCAATTGTCCTTTGCCCTGAGAGGCTCATCTGCTGAATATCAGAGTTGTTGATATTAAATACATTGCTCCCAGAGGTTATTTGTTTCATCATTTGTAGATGGTTCCCAAAAGGGACGCTTCAAAGGGTAGCTTTGAACGTAAGGAGGTGTTTCCCTGCAGGACGGAGTACCGGGTATTGTCAGCCAATCACGACTTGAATTGCTGTCTTCTGGAACTCCAGCCTCTGAAATGTGAGTAGAGTCCAACTTACTTTTGCTGCAGTCAGCCTCCGGCGTGGAGTAATCTTATGTCTATTTTTTATGACCTTGTGTTGTAGCAAATACCGCTCCACAAAATGTTGAGCAAATCTTGAACTCCTAACCACCAAGGGTCAGCATTCGTAGAGTTTTGGGGGGCTTTACTCAGCAAATTGTGTCAGAGAATTTAAATGTGGACATGTAGATGTAGATCATTGTGCAGGCTCATAGTGCCGTTATTTCTTGTTTTGCCAATTTCTGCGAGGGATCCAAAAGGAAATGTATTTACTTTCTTTCTTGCTTGTAATTACTTGGTTATGTTTGTTTCCTGGTTTGATGGTGACAGTGCAGAACCAGCAGTTTCAGGTGCACCTGAGCAACAAGCTTTGCAGTATCCTAGGTGACCGACTCTACTCCAATCAGATCCGAGACATCCTCGGGGTACCAGTGTTGGTGGATCCCCACCGTGCAGCCATAGGGACGCAGGTGAGACTGGAGACCAGCCGAAAGCCAAATGTTGGTGATCGGGCCCACAAAACTGAAATGGAACCCACATGTAGATACCCATCGTCAAATGGGTCCTTTCTTGCATGTCTTGGGGCCTGTCCAAACTCAATCGATGTTCCCAATGCTGGTTCGCACCACACATTCGGCTAGATCTGATGTTAGTAAACTAACATCCTATCACTGATCACAACCCAGATCCGGGCAAAATAAACAGGCCCTTCATAGTTAACTCTTTTTGTAGCAAAATCTGAGAAGTGTGAAGAGAAGGAGATTAGAGTTTTAACACCACATATACACTTGTGTAAGATTTCAAAAACACCTCAATATTGTTTCAGCGAATGGCCAGCTAGTAAGTTCTTGTTTACACAATGCCCCCCTCTGCAGGGAAACATCGTGTTGTCTGCTGAATTCTCTGTCTGTAGAAACGCCCCAAAATTCAACCTCTTCACTCAGAAAGGCCACACAAACAACTACAGAAATTCCCACGTTATTTAGCACATGAACCAGTGTGTAATCACTTCTTCCTGTCAGTGAACATAGTGCCCTGTAGCGCATGTGAACGGAGCCATCTCCTGTTAACTCAAAAACTGTTCCGAAATCTAATCTGAAATCATCGTTTTGCTCTTGAATTGGCCGGACAGCACTTGATTCCATTATCCTTGCTACTTCCCATGATTACTTCATCCTTGTTCGTGCTTCTCAAGGCGAGTTCATTGACTCTCCATTTTGCCGCTGTCCGCAGTCTGGTAGGTCATGTCATTCCTAGTGCAGGGATCATCTTTATAAATCAGAGAAAGTACTCTAAATTTATAGCAAACATGCATACTTATGCATAATGCATGAATATGTGGCGTAAAAGTCAAAGTTAGGCATTGAATACCCCAGTTGAATTGTATATTCCCTAACATTATGAAACTAAAATCCGTGTGTATTATTTTGTCAAATCTTTTTATTTTTATTATGCACATATACATGTATTTTTCTTCTTTTTGGGTGGGGGTGTCGTTTTGAAATTCAATTATCTCTTGCATTTGATATGGTGATTTTTGATAACTTCTGTCATATTTTTGCCTAGCAGTGGCTGATAAAACCATGGCTTGCCGTCAGTTCAAATCCTCAACTGCAAAACAATAATTCATCATTTGTCAAAAATTTCGTGCTACTATCAAACTACCACATGATAAACAGTACTACTCCATTCTAAATGAATGCGACCCTCCATAAAAATATCATGGCAAATGTACATCATGTGGGAAAAATTAGACACCGTCCATATTTCTGTAAATTGTTGCCACCCACAGGAATAGTAGGCAGTAGTAGGCAATGTTAGAGCAGTCTTTACTGTGATGGGGGAGGGACTTACTTTGTGAGATATGTTTGCATTAATTAATGAGTAGTGTGCATTGATGGTCTTCTCAGGATGTGAATCATTGGTGGTCCTCAGGGCCAACGCCATGGTAACAGTGTAGAAATGATGAAGTGAGAAAAGAAGCCACGCTCCCATATAGTCACAAAGCTGTGCTGGATTTTTAAAAAAGGAAAGAAAAAAACATGTTTTGTGCTTTTGCTAGGTTTTACAAATTTAAGTCTAACCGTAAATGCAGCTATCTCAGTAAGCCAATAGGATATTTTTAGTCCAAACATCCTCATTTACTCCATTGTTAATTCTCGGCACACATGATAACAACAGCTTTTATCTACGTTCATTGTGTATACTTAATTTGCAAAGGGAGAAACCATCTTATCGGATTACCTCCATAAATTTTAATTAACACAGAAAGGATGTGACTAATTTCCCCCCCGTTTTTCCCAGCAATTCAGTGCTAAAAATAAGCAGTTCCCTTTTGGAGTCACGGAACTATTCTTGCTTTGCTTGAACTCGGCAGACTGCTGGAGTGGAGGTTTGATATCCGCAAGGTCATTCAACTGAGCCAAAACAAAATGATTCTTTATGACTGCTGATCTGCACAGATTGGCTGAGATGTATGGTCATGGACGTTAAAGCCTAGCACAGCCACATATTTACGTTATGTGGACAAAGTCTTGGCTCAAAAGACTTCTGAGATTACCCCCCCCCCACTTTTCCCCATCCTCAAATTGCATGGGTCCATGGACATCATGGAGCAAGGGGGGATGCTTGCTTCCCCCCCCCCCAAAAAAAAGACAAAAGCAAGATAAATAAGAAAAAGCAAGAAAGGAACAAAAATCACCAACTTGATTTGGAAATTCCCCTCCCCCTCGGTACCCATTCAATACTCATGGGTGGAGAGATGAGGCAACCGGGGGAGAAGAAGTGGCTTGCCGAATGGCACAACTTACTGTCAGCAGCTGGATTCGAACCCCTGACTCTCCGAGTCACGAACCCTCACCACTAAGCCACATTCCAAAGACTGACAGGGCAGACTCTGCTTAACTTGACAAATCCAGCAGGGTCCTCAAATGTGTTGTTGTAGGATGAGTTGACTAATTTTTATGAAAGTATTCATGGAAACCAAACCACCTACATGTATTACACCCTGGTCCTCCAAATATGTGGGGCCTCATCCGCCATCAAGTCTAACTGGATTGGGTGTTTTGTCTTTTTTATAATCTGTCCTGTCAATATTGAAACTAAAATGGAGATTGTACTGTGATCCATTCCAGAATATACCTGAGGGTGTCCAGAAAGTCCTGGGCTTGAGGGCACAGCACATGTCACGGTTACCATTGTTCCTTCACTGGTACCAAGTCACCCTGCCCAAATGGCGCCAGAAGAGGGATGTCAGCATCCAGGCAACACCCCCTGGGTATTTTATGGAAGCTGTGAAAAGACTGGGGCTATCAGCCGGGGCGTGCGGGACATTGTGAGGAACGGCAGCGCGTGGAAATGACTGAAATCTGTGTCGTAATGCAACTATGAGATCTCTCTCTCTCTCTTCAAAATGACCAGTGCGCCTCATCATGGACAGGGAGCTGGCTATCAATGTGAGACACTCATTCAGTGAGAGCACTTTAACATCTGTATTGGTCGTACAGATGCAATCAAAATTTGAAACCTACTGTTTCTAGTCAATCATTGGAAATTCTACAGGCACCAACGGCATATGCCCAATACTTTTACCTAAGAATACATTAGTGTTGTGAATATCCTGTTGACAGAGGCATTGGATTTAAACTTTATAACCATGTACTCCATTAACATCAGCAATGGTATGGCTCCTTCAAGGGGGGGTGTTGAACACAAATATCTCTGTGGTCTTTTCCCAACTCGCATCGCAGCGAGATGAATATTCTTAGATGTAGAGTGTATAGCTGGAAAGGAATAAAATGTGTACCCTCGGTGGTTTTCCGAAATCAGATCTTGGTTCACGAGAGTGACGCAAGGAGATATGATTTATCTGAGTGTAGTTGGGCTATAAAGCTTGTCAATTACTGGTTATCCTGACATCTGATACATATTCGGGCCCACATACGCCAACTGGCATTGAATAGTCGTAATTATTTTGAAGTAAATTACCAGGAAGATTGCAAAAAGGGCTAGATTCATACCGAGAGTGCCATTTTGTACTGATCAGATTTCTTGAGACTTAGTAAATTCCTTGAACTTAGGCTTCCGACTCTTGTGCTTCTGATTTCACCCCCCCTCAAAAAAATTTAACTATCCTGCTGTTTGGATTTAAAATCAACCTGCCGTTAATCCACACAATGGTTGAGAGTAATCCCTCAACAATATTGACACGGTGGAATAGAATTTAGGACTTTCCCAAAAGTGCACAAATGTATGAACAAAATGAGTTGCAGGTTTAACACTAGAACTACTTCAGAGGCCCAAATACAAATTTTGCGTGATGGAAATTAATCGAAACCTAGCCATTTTTCACCCACATTATGTCTATTTTTTATCAAGATGCCCAAACTGCATGATGCAACAAAACAAAGAAGTGGACTTGCTCTTTCTGATGAAAACTGAAGCAGAATGACTTTTAAGAACTGCCTGAAAACTCATTTTGAGAGATCCAGCAACAAACTTTTTTTCAGGCATTTTGAAGGGAGATTCAATATTTCTCTCATCAGCCAGAAAGACGGTTTTCTCAATACATGGCACGAAAAAAAAAACCAAACGGCATCAAACAGACGAGTTGTATGTGGTACCATTGTATTTGAAATGTACTACAGCTACACTGGTTTTTGTTCACAAACTGACAGATTACGCATTCATAATAAGACTAAAACCAACATGCTTGGAACTTCCATTAATTAATTACATGTACAAAGGTTCCCTGATAGGGTCCATGGTGGCTTGGGATGTTGGTTCTAAATGCACAGCTTAATTAAAAAAAATACATCAAGTACAGGTAGGCATTGCAAAAGAATTACACACAGGTAATGACAATAGCTTCTCTTTCACCCCTCAAAAGCATGTATCCAGTTGGAAACAGGAACTGAAATCTCAAATTGATGGCCTACATGTACGGTATGAACATTTAACTTAAATATCACTGGATTTCACTGGTTCAGATATTTCCATTCCCAAATCCAAGTACTACAATGGCCGTATTTTTTTCTCATTTATTGTATTTTTTCCAGCAGCACCAGAATAAAATTCCTGCCAAGGGAAACATGCATGCTCTGCGCATGCTAATTAGCTCTCGTCATGCTAATTAGCTCTCGTCATCCCCTATATTAAAGCTCGTTTCGCATTGGTCCATTAAATTCAAAGGTCATGGTTCCGGATGATTCTCACCGGGCCTGATACATCATTAATTGTGTGGGCTCAACTCTGGACAGAGGCTTTATACAAGGATGATTCACATCACTGACGTACCTCTAATTATGTATTTGCAATTATCTGAAACTACCTACAATGACCAAGATAAATCTTAGCTGAAAGATACTTAATAACCATACTTTTTTCTTTTTTTAAATCAAAATTTGATTAAAATAAATCTTTCATACGCAAAGTGAAGCTGAAAAAAAGTTGATAAAAACTGCTTTAAATTGTTAGATTTAATTCAGGAGAACAGCACCCCCCCCTCGTTTTCTCTTCACTCTTTCGGATGCAGTGACAGAGACTTTCCAAGGTGCTCTACCCTATTAACAGGGTTTACGATGGCAGTTCTAGTCATTTCCGCCGAGTCTGCTGCCTTTGTCGGTACAGTAGGAAGTGGGCAGTGTGGGTCGGCACAGCTGTTAAGCTGACCGATCCAATCGGCCGTCACAGGGCCACAACTGCACAGGGCAATCAGTCCCAGCTGTGTGCAGAAATTGGCTTCAGTACTGAAAAGGATATTTCAGCCAGAACAATCTCCATTCCTCTAACAGAAGAAAGACTGGAAACTGTCAATCTTCAATCTCTTTGGCCACTGACATGTCCTAGACCAACCGGCAAGTCCTTGTCTACCCAAGGATTGTTTCACACCTAGTCTGAGAAGAAAACACTGCACACTACATCCCAGCAATGCATGGTTTGAACCCCCAACGACTTTACTAAATAAACCTTTTACATTCCTGCATTGTTTTATTTCAAAGAAATGACTAAGCACACAATGCTTCTCTTACCATGCCAATGGAAGTGTGAAAGCCCAACTTTTAAACTAGGTACTGTATCCGTACACCTTTTCACTCAAAAATTTTAAGTTTTTTTTTAACGGATTTAAAATCGAAAGTTTATTTTTAGTCAATCTACAGAAGAGTTACCAAGTATTTTGGACCACAAAGTTTTCATATTTGATATTCACATCAATAAAATGTTATTAAATGTAATGTCGTTTTTATTTACTCTAACTTAATACTAACTCCTAATATACTCTTGCACATTACAGCTGGTGTCCTTACTGAGGCTAGGATGAACATAATTCACAAAACCAATTCTGCTTATAAATGACATACATTTACACAAGTGGGATAATTTTGAAATATACATTTAGAAAAACCAAAATGACAATCTGTGAAACACAATTTTGGTTAAGTCAAGTGCACTGCTTGCAATTTGTCAGAGATGGGTGTAACGCACTAATAAATTTGTATATATATTACAGTGGAAAACCACACACAGACAACACAAAGGGGAAAGAAATTTTTTTAAAATATCTTGGTCAAATAAATGGCGGGTGATTGGAGTTAACGATTTTGAAGCTGACTAGGGACGCCTTAATGCTGTACACTGGTTATTTCGGGAGCAGAAATAAAAGACAAAAGGTTCACAAGAGCGGATTGGGTTGATCGCTTGAATCTCTTCCAAGCAAGCACTACACCATTCAAACCACAAACACTGCACCAGATCACAATTATAATATGTCTGTTTTTGTTTTTGTCTCCAAGATATGAACATCTCCGTATCAATTAAAATTACCATTCAGCTGTTCTGTTGTCACACTTATCTCCTGTAGTTCATTGTAACATTTCTAATTAATTTTAATCTCAAAATAATGTTTCAGCTTTCTTTTTTTTTTTTTTAAATACTTTTCAAACTAGAGTACGGACCTCCAGGCACTCGTAAGCAGTCAATTGTTAATACTCCACTTTTTTTTTTCAATAACAATAGTACACAAATTTCAGGATTTAGGTTTTTAAAAGTGCAAACCTCCAAGAAATGTTTCGGTTATCACGGAATCACAACAGGTGCACATGTAGTGGGCTCAGTAAAAAAAGTCTACTTTGTGAAAACACACAGTGCCACCAACATTACAACTTCAACTACATGAACCTAAGACACAAGATCTTTCTTACTGAAGAATAAATCCTAAAATTTGTCTATACCTGACATGCACTTTCCATCTCCAAAAAGATATGGAAATACGAATGTCATGATCCTGTTTAGTACAATTTACATATTGTAAATCTCTACTGGTTTTCAAGAGTTTTCTGATTTTTTTTTAGTGTCCTTCATCAATTTAAGCTAACTCAGAAATGAAAGGAAACAGCAGTAAAATTATTTTCAAGCAAGAAAGTGTATCATTGATCTTCACTTGGGTACAATTGTACATTTACAAACCTGGTCCATTCTTCAATAATTTTTTTTTTAAATGTACACCACCTCTCTCCAGTTTTCTAAAAGGGTCCCCTTTTAAACAAAGTTCACTCCAATAAACAACTGAGTAAATATTTTCAAATGACGTACTAACCTTAAGCAAATAAACATTCGCTTCAATCAAATTATTTGTATGCGTACAGGTCAACCTTTTCTACATGTACAATTCCAATTATACATCGGTGAAGCAAACTAGATTGTTAATTCTGTTTACTGTACTCAGTAATATTATGCGAATTGGTTGATCAGCCATAAACACAACCTGACATGCAATTTGTGTGAGCAAAGTAAGCCTTTCCTCTTTCAGTGTAAGAGGAACAATCCGTAAATGAAGTTTCCTGTTGCATTATTCAATAAATTGTGGGTGGGAAAAAAAAGTATGCTGCTCTCATTCATGATGAAAGCTGCTCACGCCAAGTTTTGCTCGTCAAAATGCACGTCACTGTGAAAAACATCACGCTCTCAACGTCTGGATTGTCAATATTTTACACTCATTTGGTGTTCATTTTATTTGACAATGTTTAAAATGAGGCTAGTTTATTCCCTTCTTCCTTAGCATGACTTGACGGACCAATTGACTAATTCATACTTTGGAAGCCGGAGTGGACTCGGCTTCATTTTTACACATGTACTATGCTGCTACTTTTTTTTTTTTTTTTTTTAAATATCTTTCCCCATAGCTACAAATTAAGACTGATTGAAACTAAAATTTTCAAAACTTAGCTGCAGCGCTGAAATATACATGAGAATAATTAATGCGCCATTTTGGAGTGATCTTTAATATAGCAGGGTCATACTCATTCTGTACATAATCCGTGCACATGCAGGCATAGAAGAGACACAAGAACACCGTGATAACGCATTTAAAAGAGAAAAAGAAAGGCTCCACGATTTGATACGAGTCCACTTTTACAAAACTGTGATTGTGCAGTCAACAAATTCATTCTAAAAGTTACTCCGTGTGAAATTCCAGGTCCCCCTTAAGAAATCCTTACAAAGTGCATCGCAGTGTCTCGGCCAAGATAAGATGGCTCCTGTAAAACACTCAAACGCCTACACGCGCGAAAACAGCAGACTGGTTCCGTGGAGTTGTGTGTGTTGAAGCGTTGCGCGTCGAGACAAGGCCAAAAGAAGGTGCACATCTGATTGAGACATACATGTAACGCTGCTGCAAAGTGAGTGACCATGAGCTAGACCACTCAACTGTCGTCATGGACCCAGCATGGACGTGATCCTACTTCAAATGGCGGTATCCTTGGTCTATCGGTCCCTGCCTATGCTAATCTGGAAAGTAAAAACAAAAGTGAAGACCACATTAGTTCGAGGGACCGACATTTACCACGTAAAGCTTCCGTGTTGGCAATGCACCCCTTCAGTCTACCAACAGTCCATACTCAAACTGAAATGAGCCACGGGTCAGTTGGGATAGAGAGCGGGCAGGATCAACTCTATTTGGGCAAGTGCACACGTGTTTATATTACATACAGTACCCTAGCGTGTACATTCCTATCTTCTCGTGTAATTAAAGACGACTCGATGAAATGACTCATTTTTCTTAAACTGCAAACACTATTTTAAGCTGGATTTTTGTCAAAGGTTTCCCTAACTGTTTACTACACATAACCTTGACCCCACATGCCTCCGAAGCTATTGTCCAGAGAAAGGGGGAATGGCGTGTGGATCTCACACGGTCCACCCAAGATTCACACAACCTGCATTGCGTGGAACCGTTTCCTTCTCGGGTCCACGCAAAAAATTTAAAAGATGGCAAGGTTGGCACTCGCATCTGCCTAACGCAAAGTACCAGTACATCTGGAAAAAAGGTTGGCACATGGAGGCCAATTCACAAACATAATTCACAGGCATAACATGGAGTATTTTGGGGTCTCAACATGGCCTCACCCTGTTGGAATACCATACTTACCTGCAGAATGAGAAATTTCTCTATCAAGTCCCATAAAACTCGGGCACAAACATCAATATCGATAGTGCATGTGTGTGCCGAGGTGGGGCCACCAACAACATACATGTCAACATTTCAAAGAACATGCTGAGTAAATCATGGTCATTTCTCATTTGCTCAGAAATAAATGGCATGGGATGCGTGATACAAGTGAAGCCAACAACAGCCATCTGATAATGCTGATTTCATTTTTATTTAATACTAAAACACACTGGTTTACCCCAGACTTAGGCATCCACTACACGCCTATTTGCTGATAAGCAAGGCCCTGCCAAGCACGTAGACATGACCAGATGGGAAGTGAGAGAGGCAGGGCTACTTACCAAACTGACTTCTAAAACAGACCGCAATCCTTGAGATTGTTCTTGATGATGACGTCGGTGACGGCGTCAAACACAAACTGGATGTTGTTGGTGTCCGTGGCACAGGTGAAGTGGGTGTAGATCTCCTTCTGGTCCTTGCGCTTGTTCAAATCTTCAAACTGCATCTGGATGTAGGCAGCCGCCTCCTCGTAGGTGTTGGAGCCTGAAGGAGATATCAAGGCGAAAGGAGTGGGATGTGGAGAGGGGAACAAATGTGGACAACAAGCGCGATTAAGACAAAAATGTTACCCTCTGATAAACTCGGCATGACTCGCAGATGATGCTGGGCACGGGGCGAGTTTGGTTGCAAACTTCACTTCAATCACTGATCAACTGCTGATTAACAACGCGCGAATGCAATCCAGCCAAACTCAAGCCATCGCAGTTCAAAGACTCTGGTAATCACTCACATTTGACGGCTGGCTGTAAGTTTCGTGGAATTCACGGTCAATGACATCTCATATGGTTTATGTGAATGATTCCCTTTGTTGCCCCAGTGTCTGGTTCCAAAGGGTCGAATAGATGGTCTGAACCATCCATCATTCGGTGATGCTGGTCCAATTATAAGTTAACCATAGTCATCAATCAATCATGCCCATGGATGCACAGGCCCGTGACCAGAACAATTTCCTTCTTTGGATACACAGTGCTTTGCACAAGGATGGAGGGAGCCGCTCTAACCACTGGAGGGGAACTTTAGGTTCAGGTTCATTGAACCAAATTCAAACGAGAAGCAATGAATGGAAGTCTCGATCCGGCCATACTGAAATTGAAAGCAAGGGTTTTCCCCCTACTTACCAGTGTACTCCTGGAAACAGATGGTGAGCGGGGACTTGGTAATCTTCTCCTCAAACAGATCCTTCTTGTTGAGGAACAGGATGATGGAGGTTTCGGTGAACCACTTGTTGTTGCAGATGGAATCAAAGAGCTTCATGGACTCGTGCATGCGGTTCTGAAAGAGAACGCGGAAGCCCGTTGCTGGTTATCAACAAACTGATCTCCGCAACACTCCCGCTGAACTTTTGCAACAATCAACTGAGGAATCATGGCTCCCAACGATGTTTCCCTAATACATCCCAAGGCCTGTTCACAATCAAAGCAAATGCAAAAGGGAATGCAACTCAGATAAAAAAAAAAAAACCCACTGGTAAGCCTGACATGACCTGACTGTCTCCAAGCTACGGCAACTGCCCACACTTTCCCAACTGATTTCCTGCAACCGCTGGTTCTTGGCACTACACTGGACGCAACAATCATTCCTACATTTACACAATCTGCCGACTTCATTTTTCTCACTTACTGGATATCGACACACTCCAGAATAATGGAGCTGGAACAGCATGGTACAGTTTATGCCAACATCCACCCAATATCAGACATAGACTTTCTGGAGGAGAGCAATTACGAACCTCTCCTACTGAATTGGACCCAAGACCCTCCCAAAATGGTAAGAAGGTAAGGGATGCTGTACGGCACCCCTCGCTATTACCCGCTAAAAGATCGGTTACGCCCCAGCTTGAGAACTCACCATCTCTTCATCCTCGGCTAGTACCAAGTCGTAGGCACTCAGAGCCACGCAGAAGATGATGGCCGTCACTCCTTCAAAGCAGTGAATCCACTTCTTCCTCTCTGAGCGCTGGCCCCCAACGTCAAACATCCTGTGAGAAAGTGATGAAGTTGTTACTGCTGCACTGATATGGGACATATGGGATGCAGAAAGTGGGATTCGACAAGGGCTTGGGGGAAAGGCCAGTCTATAGATAAATACAGACTGGCCCCTCACTCTTGATCTGCAATGGCCATGTTTTTTCAATGTCAAAGATGTCTTAATCACATAACTGTAAACATTTTTGTTTCCCCCTTACCTCAATTAATACTCTCAAATGATTTTACATTTACATTTTTCCCGGGTGAGAAAATTTACAACTTTTTGAAAATGTCCTTCGGAGACTCGTATTTCATCTCTCTATCAAACACTGGTTTTTGTGGCTGCTTAAATTTACATATCATGGCTGGAGACAAGACTATCATGGACTTGTACCGTGAAATTCATGAATTCAGAGCATTATTCATAAATGAACGACTTGACCCTTTTTCGAAATATGAAGAAGAGGTCTGAATTCGGAACTTGAGCCATGTCTAGCAGAGGATGTTTTCCAAGCACAATTCAGACACATACAAAGAGATTAGAGACAATCTGAGTAAAAAAGTCCCACAGTGGAAAAGCAACAGTAAGCAAAGGCACAGGGCCACATGTGGTTGGCAGAGCAGCTTCATATCCCGAACAAAGGGCCCATTTTTTCCCCTTTTCATTAGAAATCCAAAACCAGCACTGGCAAAAAAGAAACACTTGGGTGTTTCCAAGGCAACAGGGGAGACGAGAGAGAGATACACGTATACACCACAGGTTCAACTTACTTGAAGTGGAGGTCTTTGAAAGTGAAGTGGGTTTCCACGATACCGGTGGTCTTCACTCTTGTCCGGAGCACATCTTGCTGTGTGGGGATGTAGCCCGGAGCGGCAAGTCGGTCCAAAGCATTAAGGTAACTGCAGAGAACGGCCACATCAAAACCAACTGATTACGAGGTACTTTTTCAAAAACTGACAAGGCAGTGAGATGCAAGGTGTCCGGGCTCTTCACCAGGCTCGCAAAGTGATTCTTAAAAGATGCAGAGCCAGGAACCACAGTCATACACTCAACCACCTTCTTCTGGAATGCACAGACAACAATTTAAGACATCCACTGAGGAATCTAATACAGGTGCATCCCACAAGATGTAAAGCAAACAGAAATAAATACAGTGTTATCCCATGATGCTTCTATTTCTTTCATTTCATTTTTTTATCGGGTTATATTTCTTAATGCCCTTCTTCCATTTGCCCCACGGCACATGAACCATCTTCCATTTGCCCCACGGTACATGAACCATCTTCCATTTGCCCCATGGTACATGAACCATCTTCCATTTGCCCCACGGTACATGAACCATCTTCCATTTGCCCCACGGTACATGAACCATCTTCCATTTGCCCCACGGTACATGAACCATTCTGCATGCGTTCACTGGGATTTGATCATTCCACACCAAGTTGACTTTTACTGCATAGTTTCAAATTACGAGTTTACGTTTCATTTCTGCCTGTAAGTGTTCAAACACCCAGTTTTCACAAATAGCCAAACACATTTTCCCCCGATCCTGTTATTACCATTTCAAAGTTCAATCTACATTCACTACTCTAACATTTAGATCAAGGCACAATAAGCTGTCCCAGTAACTGCCACATCATAAATTGTAAATATTTAAACAAGAAATACAAACGTATTGCCACACCTGTAAACAGTACTCATTCCGTAACGGAAGTACCGGTGCTCATAACAGGCACGGCAAAGTATTGTGTTTTCTCTTCTTCCACAGTGTGAGGTCAAATGCACAAATCTTACAACCCTACTTCATGTACATGTATGGTTCTTCACCCCCTTTGTTTTGGGTTGCATGATTTTTCTTTAGTATTTGTTTTCTTCCTTTGTTCAGTTGTTTGTTTGTTGGATAGTTGATTTAGTTCTTGGTGTTCTTTTCTTTGTTTTAATGGAGTCCTAGGAGCTGCAAGCTGCACTCACTATGAAGCCGAGTCATTGAGCTGATATTCCCTGGATCTACTGAAGCAGCCCTGGACCCCGTTGTCTGCCCATAACCGCTTCATGACGGCGGCTAGCTCGGGGCTGAGCTCTCCTTCCTCTGCCTGGCCAGCCAGGGCGAACAACTGCCGCGCATCATCCTGGAGGAAGAAACGGGGGAAAAGGGATGGGGGAAGTACACAGACAAAAAAGCGATGAGTTACGGGAGGGGACATAAGCTGTCAGCTGGAATGAGGCTGGGGGAAACATTTGCCCTGGTGTCTGACTGATGCTGTCCCATCATCAGAGCTACGTGTACATGTATCCCGGATGTTCCGTACATGTACAGTACATGTACACAGGTACCTGCATGTGGATGTTACACGTACATGTACATGCACATTTGCATGTACATTTGAAGCAGTGGCACAAACTGCCTATGCATGCGAGACAGATTAGCAAGAGTGCGATCAGTGTACACGTGTTTTGGTCTCTATAATAACTGAAAGACCTATACTATTTTACACAAATACCTGTGAGTAAAGGTTTAAAACAGCATTTCTTAAAATGCTACAAGTGCATTATTCCTCCCTCAGAATGACACTAAATGAAAAGGATTCAATCTGTAAATGAAACGGTTATGCATGGATGCATGTATTGGTAGTAAGTACACGTAAGCTATGGGGAAACTATTTTGGAAGATTAAAAACCAGTTAAAAAGCATTTTATCTAAAAGTTTTTCAGCTACAGTAGATACAGTACAGGTGCATGTGTACAGGTGCACAAACCCCAGCACCGTAGTTGTGGGGACATACACTCGACATTACACCTATTTTGTGGGGACCGAAAACGTTGTGGGGACTCAGAAATGTCCCCGCAACTCGGTTCGAATTTCCCCAACAAAAGAACTTGTCCCCTTAACGGGGTGAATGCCTACCC